ACCAACACAGTACGAAAGACTGTGATATTGCGAGGTTTTGATACAAAAATTGATAGTATTCATCGCTTGAATAATACTCGCATCCTGCATATAAAAAATATGAAATGTAACCGTTACACCACCGATAATCGCCGTCCCATTTCTCACCCAATGTCACATAGTATATGTCTTTATTTTTAAGCAAACGTTAGGAACAGCACGTAGGGAACCCTATCGACAGTCTACAACGGAAAGTAAATAGGGAACTCTAACTACAGTCTACAAAAGAAAACAGGGAACCCTAACTACAATCTACAACAGAAAACAGGGAACCCTAACTACAGTCTACAACAGAAAACAGGGAACCCTAACTACAGTCTATAACAGAAAACAAGGAACCCTAACTACTGTCTACAACAGAAAGTAGGGAACCTTATCTACAGTCTACAGCATAAAGTAAATAGGAAACTCTAACTACAGTCTACAACAGAAAGTAGGGAACTCTAACCCCTAACTACAATCTACTACAAAAGGAAATAGGGAACTAACTATAGTTTACAACAGAATGTAGGGAACCCTAACTACAGTTTACAACCTCATTTTTGGGGATCTTTAATTGTGCACTTCTTGTGTTAAATGTATCGGTTTATTTAACGACGTAGTATAAGGTAAGTTTAAACATCCAAAGTGAAATAGGTTTATATGTTGTCGTGGTCTGTTGATCTGGGGCCCTGTTTCACGAAATTTTAACTAAAGATAAAATCTAAATTTAGTAGATACTTCAATTTTGATTGGCTAAGCACTAAAATCAATCTAATATTATCCAATCAAATTACTAAACTTTGGATTTTATCTTAGTTAAAATTTCATGAAACAGGACCCCGATCTCATTGTTAACTGTCACAATACAATGTTACGAGTTCTATGTATTTATATCATCTATATATATTACCTGTATAAAGTTGTTTAGATAAAGGCCAGTGTGCTCAGAATGAAACCTCTATCACCACATTATGTTAAATGAAATGAAATGGTGTTTAATGTCCTTCTTTTCTGCGTCAATCGGGTTATTGCAGACGGACCAAATTTTAAAACAAACGCCCAATAATGTATGTATCAATTTCTAGTGTAGATGAGTTGTGTAAACTTGGTAGTATTTCTTGTTCTCGAGTAGACAGTAAACTTGGCATACCTTTACTTTTGACAATAGAGCATCGATTGAAATGAAATGAAATGAAATGAAATGGAGTTTAGCGTCCTACTGTTCTGCTCCTAACCTGGGCTAATGAAGACGGGCATACGCCATACAGTGTGCTATGAGGGAAATTTTGCCCGGACAGCGGCAGTACGGCCTACTCTTATATCGAATTCCAACTGCCAAGGGATCTTTTACGTGCACGCCAATGTGGAGCATCGATTGAAATGACGCCATAGACTATAATGCTCGGTTGCTGGGTCATTCATCGTACATTCAAGACTGTATTTATCTCTCACGCAATTGCTGTATGTGGTATTTATATAATTTACGCCTTGATTGAGTGCAAACATCTCAAGTATATTAGATCTAAATACTACCGTTGCCAGTCATTACGTCAGCTATTTGCTCAACCGGAGCTATATGATACAGTACTAACATTTTTAAAAGAGACAAACTTTTATTTTCAATTTTAATTGTATATATTTAATCATGTATATCGTTTTAAATATTTATATATGTAAAAGATTTGTTATATTTATTTTTAATTAATATATTTTCTGTGATATTTGTTTTTATTTACATATATAAATTCAATTATGTGATACTGTTTTAATTTGTCTCGATAGATTCACTCTCTCTCTCTCTCTCTCTCTCTCTCTCTCTCTCTTTATGTGATGTTAACACCTACAAAATAAACCCAAGTGAATTAAAATATTATCTCTGTAATTTGATATTTGACCTTATTTCTAACCGAGTATATTATACCATGTAATAGACCCTATATGTGAGTGAAGTTATTTAAGACTCGACGTGTTTCAATCTGCAGTCATCCATCATCATACACAATAATACCATTGTGTTATCATGTAATACATTGTATACAACCAGGATATATATATAATTTGATTTTATAACGTGTGGTAAGTAAAAATATACATACTATGTACCGAAAACTTTTGTTCATGTTAACAGAAATGGTGGCCCATAAAGTCTGTTTTTTTTTATTCAGAGCATAAGTACGTGGTTATATACTATTCAAAAAAAGTAGGGGATATTTGATTTTTAAGTGTTATTAAAGTCACCTAATGAAACTGACGAAGAAAGAAATGACAAAATGAAATGAAGTTCACATTCATCGATTTATTCCAAATGATCGTTAGACTAAGTAAGGCACAGACTGACCATTATAAGGGTAAAATGATACCCGGGGTCAAACAGCAAAGTTACCACAGCATCACAACCAAGTCAGTAACGGGTAAATCCTCCTCTGTTTGCCAAACAAGCATTGATCCGACGTGGCATACTCCTAATGAGACGTCTAAGGTCATTTTGGTCCAGATTGTCCCATTCCTGTTGCAACGCAGCAGCAAGTTCTTGGACATTGGCAGGACGTTGTTGACGTTGACGTAACCTCTGTCCAAGCATGTCCCAGACATGCTCGATGGGGGAGAGGTCGGGACTCAGTGCTGGCCAAGGTAATGTGGTGATGTTCTGTTGTTGGAGGTAACCTGTAACGATCCTGGCCCTGTGACATCTTGCGTTGTCATCCTGGAAGATGAAACGGCGGCCATGACGTCGTGCGAACGGCACAACATGGACTGCCAAGATGTTGTCCCGGTAGTACTGGCCTGTAACACGCCCTGCAGCAACATGTAAAGCCGTTCTTCCAGCAAAAGTGATGCCTCCCCACACCATAACAGAACCACCCCCAAATCGATCATGTCTGATGACGTTAACGTCTTGGAAGCGCTCGTTTCGACGACGCCACACCCTCCTACGTCTGTCCAAAAAATCAACAGTGAACCTTGACTCATCTGAAAACATCACATTGCTCCAGCGTCGATTATCCCAGTGTTGACGATCCCTACACCAACGACGTCTTGCCTGAATGTGATGATCTCTCAAACAAGGGATCACGCGAGGACGTCGGGCGCGAAGGTGACCCCTATGCAGTCGATTCCGAATCGTCTGGCCACTCACTCTCACACCAGTGTCTGTTTGAAGACGAGCGCTGATCTGATTTGCTGTGATGACACGATTTCTCAAGGCCAAGGTACGGATAAATCGATCCTGGGCTTGAGTTGTCGCCCTTGGTCGACCTGAGCGTGGTCTGTCCTGTACAGATTGTGTATCACGGTATCTGGACTATAGCCTCCTTATGACAGACTGAGAAACATTCATCGTCCGCGCCACAACCGCCTGTGTTGTGCCGATCTGTAGCATGCCAAGGGCACGTAACCTTTCATTTTGGGTAAGCCGACGCATATCAAAATTAGTTTTCTGGTCACTAAAACAATTAAACTGATGTTTCCACCCTGGAATTCAATTCAAAGTCAGAGTCGTGCAAATCTTGGGTTGGACCCCCATGATGATCCCAAGCATCACCTGCATTCCATGCGGTAGCTATTGGTGCGTTTGGGCGTCACATGTAACTGGAAATGTTTCTTCTGTTAGGTTCTATAGTGACTTTTTTCGTAGTCATTTGCATATTTTAGTATTATGCCCCCAAAATCAAATATCCCCTACTTTTTTTGAATAGTATATATTAGTATTTGATATTGTGCCAAAACATGCTATCTCGAAAAATATGCACACGCTGTGGTAAAATAAAATTCGTGATCAGTATTCATTTAAAGTGGGCTAGACCGACTCAGTAAGTAAAACGCTGACTCACCAGTTTAGTCTAGTCGTTCGGAACGAAAACCAGAGATCCGTGTAAACGTAAGGGACCCTTGGAAGTTTGAATTCGAAGCCGGAATGACGGAAACGCGATTCCATACATTTCCTTTCTACACCACTGGCAAGGAGAAACCACGCCGGAAAATCGCGATCAACTTTCTCGACCAACGCAGGGATCGAATTCCGGACCTTACGGTTAGCGGGCCAATGTCCTACCCACTGAGACGCCATGGCTCCCAGTTTTTCGTCCCATCCAAAATAAAGACATAAAAACACTGGCCAATCACGAGGAACTGCCTCGTGCAACCCCGAGATCGAATCCGGAGTCTTCTGGGTACTGATTCAGTGCCTCTTCACTGAGCCACCGTGGCTCCCCCGCCGTCGATGGAGCAGACCTAAGAGACGTACAGTATTGCTCTTTGAAGGTCACAATGTTAAACAGTATCAAAGATACGTATATGTGTTATACTTGCAATGTGAAATATATTTAGCAGTTTCACGTAGTTAAAGATGGGCATTACAATCAGGCATCGTCCAAGATGACTGCTGATTGGAAAATGCAGTAGAGGTGAATCTACCAAGAAAAGTCTTCTTTAGGCATACGCTTTAAAGCTCTAATTTCTTTTAATTATTTGCAAAGCTATACCCTCGCTTTATATTGTATTTGGTAAGATAACAGGGGTGTTTATATAAATCTACGCTTCGTGATTTTTAATAAAACATGACAGAAGATCGAGGACATCGAGTTAAAAATAAACTCATTTATGGAATATTACACCAATACAGTACGAAAGACCGTGATATTGCGAGGTTTTGAAACAAAAATTGTTAGTATTTGAATTGTTTTTTCCGATCTCAATGATGCAGGGCGGAGGGCCTGACAAGGACAGGTGTCTAGTCGTTCGAATGGGACGAAAAACCGAGGTCCCGTGTACACATTGGCGTGCACGTAAAAGATCCCTAGACAGTTAGAATTCGATATTGCGAGGTTTTGAAACAAAAATTGTTAGTATTTGAATTGTTTTTTCCGATCTCAATGCTTGAATACTACTCGTATCCTGCATAAAATAAATATGAAATATAACCGTTACACCACCGATAATCGTCGTCCCATTTTCTCACCCAATGTCACATATTTGTCTGTATTTTTAAGCAAACGTTAGGAACAACAGCGAGTAGTGAACCTTATCTACAGTCTACAACAAAAAGTAGGGAACCTTCTGTACAATCTACAAAAGAAAGCAGGGAACCCTATCCGTAGTCTACAACGGAAAGTAGGGAACTCTATAACTACAGTCTACAACAGAAAGTAGTGTACAACATAAAGTAGGGAACCTTATCTACAGTGTACAACAGAAAGTACATAGGGAACTCTTACAACAGTCTACAACAGAAAGTAAATAGAGAACATTAACTACAGTTTACTAGAAAAGGAAATAGGGGACCTTAACTACAGTTTACAACAGAAAGTAGGGAACCCTAACTACAGTTTACAACCTCATTTTTGGGGATCTGTAATTGTGCACTTCTTGTGTTAAATGTATGTATCGGCGTATTTAATTAACGACGTAGTATAAGGTAAGTTTAAACAACCACATTGAACTATGTTGTTGTGGTCCTTGCCCATAGGTCTGTTGATCCGATCTCATTGCTAACTCTCACAATACAATGTTATAAGAGTTCTATGCATTGATATCATCTATATATATTACCGGTATAAAGATAAAGGCCAGTGGGTTCAGTTTCCATTAAAACAGTCAGAATGACACCTTTGATCAACACTTTGTGTTAAATAACATGTGGGTAAGACGCTGGCTCGCTAGCCTGTAGGTCAGGTGTTCGATCCCTGCATTAGCTGAGAAAGTTCATCCAGATTTTCCGGCGTGGTTCCCCCTTGTCAGTGATGCAGGGCGGAGTGCCTGACAAGGACAGGTGTCTAGTCGTTCGGATGGGACGAAAAACCGAGGTCCCGTGTACACATTGGCGTGCACGTAAAAGATCCCTTGACAGTTAGAATTCGATATAAGAGTATGCCGTAGTGCCGCTATCCGGGCAAAATTTCCCTCATAGCACACTGTATAGCGTATGCCCGTCTTCATTAGCCCAGTTCGGAGCAGAACAGTAGGACGTTAAATCCCATTTCATTTCATTTCGTTAAATAACATGAAATGGTGTTTAACGTCCTTCTTTTCTGCGCCAATCGGGTTTTTGCAGACGAACCAAATTTTAAAACAAACGCCCAATAATGTATCAATTTCTACTGTAGTATTTCTCTTGTTGTTCTTGTTCTCGTGCAGACAGTAAACTTGGCATGCATTTAATTTAGACATTACAGCATCGATTGACGGACATTTTGATCTGTGGTTGAGATGACACCATAGACTATACAGATCGGTTGCTGGGTCATTCATCGTACATTCAAGATTGTATTTATCTCTCACGCAATTGCTGTATGTGGTATTTATATAATTTACGCGGATATTATTTTCCATTTTCAGAACAATATAGGTTTGAAGATGGCGTTTGGATCAATGCTCCTGATAGTAAATGTGGCCATCTTTGCCGTCTACATTCAACAAACGTTCTTTAGTGGAGATAAACTTGAATCTCACTTGGCGAAGGAAATCGACACATCATACGACTATATTATAGGTAAGATTATGCAAGGTAGAAATAACAATAACCATTAAAAAGAGAGAGAGCGAGAGAGAGAAAGAGAGAGAGAGATAGAGGAGGGGTTAACGTCCACTCGACACAAACTAGGTCATTTCTGGACTAACATATGGTTTGATTTTATTTCAATAATTCACTTGCGCGTAGGCGTCTTTACCAGTGGAAGGAAACCGGAGGAACTGGAGAAAACCGACGAGGTTGGACAGGCGACCCTACTCCTTGTCACGTACAACCGGGGAATCTAAACCACGCCAGATAACTCAATGACAGACTTTTATGATACAGCGCGCAGACGCTAACCATTTAACCATCTAACCCCCAATCCTTAAAGGGAACAGGTGTTGACGAATTTGGTCTAGCTACAAACATCAATGCCATCTAAGTAAGATTACAGAAAGCTAATTCGATGGTTTTTGAAGTGCCTATATATTCGAATTTCAAGAGAAAGTCCGTCTCGAAATGTTTTGTAACCATATTACCTTCCCCAAGTTGATCGAATTTTGAATTTGTGATTGGTCAGTTTAAAAAGAAAACTTTCCGTGTGCTTTAAACCTAATCTTTTGCTGAATATTATTTCTTAAATATGTCTCTTTCAGTGGGGTCTGGGTCTGCAGGATCTGTATTAGCCAATCGTCTGTCTAAAGATTCTTGTCTGAAAGTCCTGGTACTGGAAGCAGGAACCGACGACCAACAACCGTCCTCTACAGTTTTAAAAGTTCCTATGATGAGTGCATTGGCCCAGAAGACAGAATACGATTGGCAATATTATTCAGTACCTCAAAAGCATTGCTGTAAGGGTTTGCGCGGACAGGTAAAACTTTGGTTGTGTGTCTGCTTTGAAGATTTCTTCCTATAATATTCTGAAACACCATGAAATCTCGCCAGTTTTACTAAAATAATCTCCCCAGTTTGCGATACGTATTTTTAATGGACCAGGTAAGATGTTCTTAGTCGAGTAAGCTAATATTTCTCGACTTAGGAACTGTTGCCACATAAGAGCAGGACGTTTAACCCAATTTCATTTTATTTCATTTACCTAACCACCTACAACAATTCTTAACACACTTTCGTGTATTTGTTTTGTTATTTACCATCAAAGGTCCATTGAAAGCATCACAGATTTCTGACTACTGAATATTCTGTATTTGCATCACTTGACATAATATCTTTGTGGAGATCACAGGTTCGAGCCCGGTGTTGACCTAGGAAGAGAATCTTTCAGCCTGCTTTCCCCTTGTCTGTAGTGCGTCTTATTGTTCTGGTGGGACTAAAAAGGCGATGCTCCCATGTACACCTTTATTGTGTACCTAAATACGTAAAAGAACACTTGCCTTGGGATTCGACGAAGGGTCAGTTGTAACGCTGCTGTCTAGACAAAATTGCCATCGAAGCACTTTGCTTGGCGTATGTTATTATTAGCCTAGTTGGTGCAAAACAGTAGGGCGTAAAACCCATTTCTTTCATTTCAGAGAATGTTTATGCCCAGAGGTAAAGTTTTAGGTGGATCCAGTCAAATAAACTATAACGTTTATGTCCGAGGTCATAGAAAGGATTACGATGGCTGGTCTGAAGCTGGGTGCTATGGGTGGAGTTATTCTGAAGTCTTGCCATATTTTATTAGATCAGAAAATATTCAACCATTCAAACATATGGAAACAGGTATAATGTACCCGACAATATCTTATGCTATTTATATAACAAAGCAGTATATTTGGTAATTTTGCGAACAGACTTATTTCCCCTTAGTAGAAGAGAGAGAGAGAGAGAGAGAGAGAGAGAGATAGAGAGAGAGATGGGTTTAACGTCCACTCGACACAAACTAGGTCATTGCGCGTATTGGGCTTTAGCAGAGTGGGAGGAAACCGGAGGACCCGGAGAAAACCCACGAGGTTGGACAGGAGACTATACTCCTTATCACGCATAACCGGGAATCGAAACCACGCCAGTTGACTCAATGACAGACCTTATGATATAGCGCGCACGTGCTAACCATTCGGCCACCCAACGCCCCTGAGATGGAAGAAGAAAAGAGCTAGTTCCCTTTCAGCGTTTATACAAGAATAATAATTATAACCTAATTATACATACTTGTTTGTGGAGGCGGACCTTGAGCCTGAAAGTAGCTAAGTCTCTAACTCAATATCATCCAAAGTCTTACACGTTAAAAATACGAGTTATTTGTCAATTCAAATCAACATTGATGTTGTGATCTTACCGGGATGGTAGACTTCTGATATCCAATATTTAAGATAAAATAAACATTTTACCATTGGTACACGAATCGTGTACCATAGTGCGTTTCAGCGTCATGTGTAACAAGTGACCAGAAAGAACGAGGCTAGACATATTCCACAACTCATTCAAACGATGACGCCATTAGAGCATGCGCAAGACTGGAATAACCAGACGCTAGAAATAGCGATTCGGTTGAGACTCATGCCGTATTTCGCTGGAGATAACTGATTTGAAATTGGGTCAATTTCTAGGTCCGAAATATTAGCGATTTAGCTCCTTTAAGGAACGAACGAACGAACTTAGTTATGTACTTAAAACTGGTTATCATGATAAACGGGTTCAGCGATTGTCTTCATTAACCTAAATAACAAATACGACGTCAATATAATATTTAATGTAGGATAGAGTAGTTAAGTAAGCTGTTTATAATAATAAACACGGACTATGGTTGTCTTCATTAACCTAATTAGCAAATAATACTTTAATATCAAAATTATTTGTTAAAATAATAAGAGATATCTCTCGTGGATTGGATCAAAGTCGTATATCGTCATTTGAGGGCTTTTCAAAGTAATGAAATATGGATCAATTAAAGGAATAGCAATTCAAAAATTCAGCACATGCTATAAACTGGACAAGGTTTAAACAAGCTAGAGTCACATAATCTTCCCTGAAATATCTTAAAAAACCCTTTTTAATCCTATTGAATGTAACCCTGGAGATTATCTACCGTTGATTTTGTTTTCTTAATTAATCGATTTGGGTAAATTTTAGCTGGTTTATCACGTCAGTCAACATTTTCTCAAAATCAAAGAGAAGTAGCCACTATATACAACTCCATATATGGGGTGATATAATCAAAGAAATTATAATAACATCATTTTTCATTGTTCTACAGAATGAATCTGTTCTACTTTTAGAGTATCATGGTACAAATGGTTCACTTGGGGTGTCGGAATCTCAAGTGACAGATTTTCCAACTTTTATGATAGAGGCTGGTGAAGAAATGGGGTATAGAACTGGTGATTATAATGGTAGGGAACAAAAAGGTATGTTAATTATAATTACAATGGGTGGATTATTCCAAAAATACCCATGATGGAATATTCCAAAATACCCTGGATGGAATATCCCAAAAGTACCCTGAATGGAATATTTCAAAAATACTCAGGATGGAATATTCCAAATATGCCCAGGATGGAATATTCCAAAAATACCACGGATCAAATATTCCAAAAATACCATGGATGGAATATACCAAGAATATAATTTTGTAGAATATGACGAATGGAATATTACCATTAGGTTGACTATAACTAGAAATATAACTTTGTAAAATATACCACAAATATAATAAATGGAGAATACTATGAGGTAAACTGTCACTTCACTATGACGAAAGGTGGAATATTCCAAAAATGACTATACCATAAATATATCATGGTGCCATAAATACCATCAAAAAATACTAAGAAATGCACCATAAATACTAGGAATGGAATATACCATAAATACCAGCAGTGGAATATACAATAAATACTAGGAATGGAATGCACCATAAATATTAGGAATGGAATGGAATATACCATAAATACCAGGAATGGAGTATATAATAAATAATAGGAATGGAATGTACCATAAATACCAGCAGTGGAATATACAATAAATACTAGGAATGGAATGCACCATAAATATTAGGAATGGAATGGAATATACCATAAATACCAGGAATGGAGTATATAATAAATAATAGGAATGGAATGTACCATAAATGCACCATAAATACTAGGAATGGAATATCCCATAAATAAAAGGAATAGAATGCACCATAAATACTAGGAATGGAATATCCCATAAATACTAGGAATGGAATGCACCATAAATACCAGAAATTGAATATACCATAAATACCAGCAAATGAATATACCATAAATACCAGCAAAGGAATATACCACAAATACTAGGATTGGAATATACCAAAAACACTAGGAATACTAGGAATAGAATATACCATAAACACTAGGAATGGAATATACCATAAATACTAGGAATCGAGTGTATCATAAGTTGTCTGACATTCTCTGTTTTTTATGCAGGATTTTTTGCTACACAAGCTACTATACAAGATGGTGAAAGGTGTAGTATGGCTAAAGCCTTCTTATGGCCAGCTGTCACAAGTTGCAAAAATCTTCACGTTCTGACAAACGCCCACGTTAAAAAGGTAAGTATTGTCTTTTTTATATATTTGACACATCTTGTTTACGTATTTTTACCCCAAAGCCCACGTGGATTTTGTTTTAATGGGTACGGAGAAGTCTAAGGAGTTAACCTGCGTTCGATTACAATTCTACTTCCATGTTGACAAATGATGAGCACGCAAGTTTTTTTCTTTCTTTTCAGGTAGTTATAAAGAATAAGAAAGCAGTTGGTGTAGAATTTTATCACAAAGGAACACTGAAGTCTGTTTCTGTAAATAAAGAGATTATTCTATCAGCTGGTGCTTTGTCTTCTCCTCAGATTTTAATGCTGTCAGGGATTGGACCTAAAGAACACCTGAAGAGCAACGGGGTTAGTGGCTTTAGACGTAATTTTTTCTTATTGGCCTAACCTTTGGCCTAAGTACCTTTTAGCAATACTAATGCACAATATATTCGACTGTCTTCAAAATTTGTGCATCTTGTTGATGTTTTTCTTCTTGGGGATTCAATCGACCTGAGATTTGGCATACTTATATTTTGGTCAACTGCGATGGGATTAACAGATTTTTGACAGGACGCCACATTGCCAAGATGGATGCGATGACGTCATGGTAGAGACAGCAAAGCTAGTTCCTTATATACCCAATTTACTACTGATTTAAAAGAAAACAAATTAAAATAAAATAAAGTATCTCGTTGTTACACAACAATTGTATGTATGGGTTTCCCAGATGAACGTAATTCAGTAAAAATAATTGGTTGTCTATTTCAGATTCCAGTCATAGCTGATTTACCAGTGGGTGATAATTTACAAGATCATATTACTTTTTCATTCTACTATAAAACAAAAGAACTTGTGTTTAATTCTTTTAACAAAACACAATCGTTGTGGACATTAGCCCAGTATTTAACAACAAAAACAGGTAATTGTACATAATTATTCCTGACCTAGCTTAAGTATGTTCATTATGGCATCCATCCTTTACTTGATAATACCCCGGCGACGCAGGCTCACTTACCCGGAATTTCCAGCCTGGTTTCCCCATGTCAGTAGTGAAGGACGGAAGGCCTGGCAAGCAAAATTGGCGAGTCCTTCAGATTGGACGAAAGTCGATTGGTATCAACCTCAAAAACCCGACATCGGGTTATCGTGGTGTCGGATTAAAATGTCGTGATGTCGGGTTGTCGCCTTATGATGGGCGACACAACGACATCACGACATGATACCATTCAGGCACCATATTTGACAGTTCGCCATACAAGCAAAGATTCCCTGCTTTGCCTGTCGTAGTTAACCTTTCAGACTACTATACATCGAATTGGGCCCCACCCTGATGAGTAGATGCTGTTCCTTGCCAGTCGTTGGCAAATCTTAAAGAATCTTCACCTCCTGGGGTAGAACCTTACCCACATAATAACGGTTTTTGATAAGTATTTGAAGTTTCAAGTAATTGAGTGGATTCAATTTCAAGTGATTGAGTGGGTTTAATTTAAAGTAACTGTCTCTCAGGGTTCAATTCCAAATAATTGTCATTGGGTTCAATTTAAAGTAATTGTCACTGGGTTCAATTTCAAGTAATTGTCACTGGGTTCAATTTCAAGTAATTGTCACTGGGTTCAATTTCAAGTAATTGTCACTGGGTTCAATTTCATGTACCTGACTAGGTTTAATTTCATATAACGACTGGGTTCAATTTCAAGTCAGTGTCATTGGGTTCAATTTCCAGAAAATGGGTGGGTTCGATTTCAAGTAATGACTAGGTCTCATTTCAGGTATCTGTCTGGGTTTCATTTCTATCGTTGTCAATTATCGATTAACTTTCACTGTTTAATGACAAAGAACAGGATTTCAAGTTTTGATGAATTGCATTATGTTTTATTCAGGTGTGTTAGCGACACCTGTAGGTATAGAATCACTAGCTTTTATATCCACGGACCCCAAAACACCCGAATATCCTGATTTAGAAATACATGCCGCACATTTGATGACTAATGAAGAAATGCTGTACAACATTGTTGGAATAGACCATAAGGTAAGAAAAAACTGGCTTAACGTTTGCACCAACCTGAATGGTACGCATTGGAGAGTCTATCAGGGACATTTTGTCTGGACAGCTGCGTTTCACAGTACTCTTTTGTCGAAATGCAAATGTCTTTTACTGTATTTCCGCGTTTTTTTTTGGACACATCCAAAAAACTACTGAAATGGTGAAAATATTCCGAAAAATTCCGAGCAACTTTCTCGGTCAACACCGGGATCGCGTCCGGGACCTCCTGGTTATTTATGATTTGGGGTGGGGGGGCGCTAATTGTTAGTGCGTGCACTGTATCATAAGGTCTGTCATTGAGTCAACTGGCGTGGTTTCGATTCCCCGGGTGTAACTGACAAGGAGTAGGGTCGCCTATCCAACCTCGTGGGTTTTCTCCGGGTTCTCCGGTTTCCTCCTACTGCTAAAGACCCCTGCGAGCAAGCGAATTATTGAAATAAAATTGAACCATATGTTAGTCCCGAAATGACCTAGTTTGTTTCGAGCGGACGTTAAACTCCATTTCTCTCTCTCTCTCTCTCTCTCTCTCTCTCTCTCTCTCTCTCTAAAAGGGAAAAAAAAGCTAAAACATTTTATTTTTCAGTATGCAGATCATTTCTCTGGTATAGACGATATCAACGGCTTTACATTGGTTTATACTTTATTAAGACCAAAGAGTCATGGTACACTTCGTCTAAATAGTACCGATGCCATGCAACATCCGATCATTGATCCAAGATATTTAGAAAACAAGGAAGATGTGGAGAGCTTGCTACGAGGTTTGTCAATATTAATTAGTTTCATGGATATCCATGAAAGAATCAGAAAAATTAAGTATCAAGACCAGAACTTAATTTCAGGGATTGTTTGTTAATTACTTGAAAAAAGGAATATCAGTTCGGAAATGGTCCAGTTCAATATTTACAACGGTGCCTGGCCCTGAAAACATCTGTTTCTTTACAAATGTCATTACCGGTGTTAATTTATACTTACATCATTACAGGTGTTGATTTTTACTTATATCATTACAGGTATTCGTTTTTCACAGAAACTGGCTAACACCAAGACATTCAAATCGCAGGGATCTGAACTTTTTCATAAACCATTTTCACCATGTTTAGAAAAATCTAAATTTGATAGCGATGAATATTGGCGTTGTTATATTGGGTATTTTACCCTGGCTGTCTATCATCCTACTGGAACTTGTAAAATGGGACGTACAGAAGATCCAACAACAGTAGTGGATCCGCAGCTAAGGTAAGTACATTACTATAGTACGCTCTGACGTTTCAGGCAATGAACTGTAGACTATACTACAATCTCGGCGTAGATTTTCAACTAAGCGGTGGACATACTAGCCGACTCAATCGGCGCCGAATTGCAGCAGAATTCATTCTGCAGAATGATTGGACACATCGGGCGAATCCTTCGTTCGATTCACCAGTCGATTACATCGCCTTTCACTTCACATGATGGGATGATGGGGATCAGTGGGTAAGACGCTAGCTCGCTAGCCTGGAGGTCGGGTGTTTGATCCCTGCATTGGCCGAGAAAGTTCATCCAGATTTTCCGGCGTGGTTCTCCCTTGTCAGTGATGCAGGACGGAGGGCCTGACAAGGAAAGCTGTCTAGTCGTTCGGATGGGACGAAAAACAGAAGTCCCGTGTACACATTGGCGTGCACGTAAAAGATCCCTTGGCAGTTGGAATTCGATATAAGAGTAGGCCGTAGTGCCGCTGTCCGGGCAAAATTTCCCTCATAGCACACTGTATGGCGTATGCCCGTCTTCATTAGCCCAGGTTAGGAGCAGAACAGTAGGACGTTAAACTCCATTTCATTTCATTTCACTTCACATGTTTCAACATGGCAGCGACCTTGTCTTCAAACAATCACGTGATCTCTCGATAACAATGTTGATTGGCTAATGAATTCTACAATCGGGCAAATGCTTCGGCGAAGCGGGCACACTAGACGAATATTATTCGGTCGAATGAAGATTTCTCAAGACCGGTTCTCACCCAGGTAGCTTCTGTGGTCAGACATGTAAAGTGTCGTCCAGTCGTTGGGACGAAGATCGTTGTTAACACGTAAAGGGGCGCGTCACAGTTGCAATTTGACGACGAGTAGGCGGAATATTCAAAATATTTTCCCGGTCATTAAACCACAATTCGATGGATTTCATGAGTCCGCGCTAACTATTCACAGACTGAACACCAAACAAATCGTCCTTGTTCAACCCACATTTTAAAATGGCCTGATGTGTATTTATTTTAATTAGTATTTTATTTATTACAGAGTGAAAGGCATCCATGGACTGCGAGTAGCCGATGCATCTATTATGCCATCCATAGTATCTGGCAACACTAACGCACCGTGTATAATGATAGGTGAAAAAGCCGCGGATATGATTCTAGGTATAAAACCACCAACACCTCTATCAGATATGTAGCTGTATATACCATAACTATCAGATTGTTGAACTAATCTGTCAGTATTAAACCGTTATAATTAAACGTTAATACTTATCAATGTGTAAAACAAAGGTTGTAAACCTTTATAACTATCAAAGTGTTAAACCAAAGTGTTGCTAAACCGTTATAACTATCAGAATGTTATACCAAAGTGTTAAAGCAAAGAGTTAAACCGTTATAACTATCAGAGTAACAAATTGTTATAACTATCAGTGCAAACTATATAAACGGTTATAGCTATTATAGCAAACCATTTGAAAGGTTATAGCTATCGGGGCAAACTGTTTAATCGTTTAAAAAGTTATAACTATCAGTGTGTCAAACGGTTATAAGTATCAGAGTATTAATCCGCTAACCAGCTAAACCGTTATGACTCTCAGGGTGTTAAACTGGTATAACTACCAGAGAAACAAAAGGTTATAACTATCAGAGTAAACTATATAAACGGTTATAGCTATTATTTAAAGGGTTATAACTATCGAGGCAAACTGCTTAATCGTTATAACATCTAAACCGTAATGACTCTCAAAGTGTTAAACTGGTAGAACTACAAGAGTAACAAAATGTTATAACTATCAGAGCAAACTATATAAACGGTTATAAACTATATAAACGGTTATTAGATAATTATAACAAACTAAGTAAATCGATATAACTGTACATTATTAACTCAGTGTTATCACCGTAGGAAAGCTGGAGCTATTTCTAAACCTGGCAAACTTATAGATCCCATATTCTAAGTTATATTAGCAATGAAAATAAGGGTATTTTTTTAGACATTTTGACTTATTTGAGTAGTCATGAAAAGGATTAATTTCTACATCAAAATGGTGCAAATCTGGAGATTTTCTGTGAAAATTCCTGATTTTTTGACAAAATTTTGTAAAATTACAATACTGTTCACTTTATCTGTGGTTTGAGAGGCTGACTAAGATAAAATTGGGCAATAATATATTTTTCTTACTGATAGAAATTAAATAAAAAAATGAAAATTGAGAAATTTGCAGTAAAATCGCAATTTTTTTCCAAACTGTGATTTGTTTTTAAATTTAACTTTATTTTTAGTTTTTCTGTAGTCAAAATATTTAATACATATTTTCTGAGAATTTAGTCTACATATTTTCAAAACTAAGGCGTATCAGTCACAGCCTTGTCACACACAGACAGGCCACAGATCACTAATGATTTCACCATTGACTTTAATGTTAGTTCTTGTCTCTTTATAGACTGGCTCTAACTTTTTCCCAAATTTTCGTTGGGTAAAACGCTTTTTACAACAGATGGAGCAACATGTGACAATCTATTGCCGAAAAGCACGTAAGAGGTTCTTCATGAAAAACTTGAGATACACAAGCTGGAAGTAGAGACAAGTAAACATGCAATTTTCGGCCCTACATTTCAACCTAACCAACCTCTTAACTCTTGTATCCGTCCTCCTCAAAATCATGAATATTTATCAAAACCTGGCAGAAAATGTATTTTTAAATCCTTTTCTTCGATTCTACACCAAATATTTTCTGGGGGAGGTCCCCAATACCCTCCGTAATGACTGGGCTTCGTCGAGGTTCGCAAGTCCGTTCGTTTGACACTTTACCTCAACGATCAGTGTCTGAAATACTGCCAGACATTTCCGGCAAGTTGTTTTTCAAAATTTTCTGGGGGAGCCCCCCTACCCCTAGTTCAAGCTCGTTCCTTTTCCCCCTTAACCTTGGACTTTGCCCCAGCTTTGCCCCTCCAACCACCGACGGCTGGCGCCGCCACTGCATGGGTTCCTTCATAAGCTTAAGCGTAGCAAGCTGTAACTATCTATAAGTTATTGGTGTTTAATCCCTAGGAAAAACTAGGTCATTTCGGCATATGGTTCAATTTTATTTCAATAATTCGCTTGACCGTTGGGGTCTTAAGCAGTGGAAGGAAACCCCACGACGTTGAACAGGCGACCCTACTCCTTGTCACACACGCACAGGCGGGAGTCGAAACCACGCAACTTGACTCAATGATAGACCTTATGTTCTCAAACGCACACCATAGACCGTTCTCCACCGCCCCACCCCGCATATAAACTAAAAATGCAGTGTGCTCTCCACGGTTGGAAGCTGACGATAAGTCAGTGCGTTCACAACATGTGCAGTGATAAACCCAGGGCCGGTTGTAGAAAATGCGTGGTTCAATTTGGGAGAGGGGTGGGGGAGTGGCCGAATGGTTAGCACGTGCACGCTGTATAATAAGGCCTGTCATTGAGTCAACTGGCGTGGTTTCGATTCCCCGGTTGTACGTGACAAGGAGTGGGGTTGCCTCTCCAACCTCGTGGGTTTTCTCCGGGTCATCCGATTTCCTGTCACTGTTAGAGACCCTACGCGCAAGCGAATTATTGAAATAAAATTAAACCCTATGTTAGTCCCGAAATGACCTAGTCTGAATGGAGTGGGCGTTAACCCCCTCTCTCTCTCTCTCTCTCTCTCTCTCTCTCTCTTTATGTGATGTTAACACCTACAAAATATTATCTCTGTAATTTGATAGTTGACCTTATTTCTAACCGGGTATATTTATACCATGTAATATATGTGAGTGAAGTTATTAGAGACTCTATGTATACGTGTGTTTCAATCTGCAGTCATCCATCATCATACACTCCAGTTGCACAATAACCTTCGGTAATGTAATCAACAATCACAAATAATCAGGGAATTAATGCGAGTGATACCATTGTGTCTTCATGTAATACATTGTATACAACCAGGATAATATATAAAACTTGATTTTATAACGTGGGGTGAGTTGAATAGTAGTAATATACATTAAATTATGTACCGAAAACTTTTGTTTATGTTAAGAGAAATGGCGGCCCATAAAGTCTGGGTTTTTTTATTCGGAGCATAAGTACGTAGTTATACATTAGTATTTGATATTGTGCCAAAACATGCTATCTCGAAAAATGTGCACACGCTGTGGTAAAATAAAATTCGTTATCGGTATTCATTTAAAGTGGGCCAGACCGGCTCAATAAGTAAAACGCTGACTCACTAGTTTAGTCTAGTTGTTCGGAACGAAAACAAGAGATCCGTGTAAACGTAAAGGACCTTGGAAGTTTGAATTCGAAGCCGGAATGACGGAAACGCGATGCCATAAATCTCCGTTCTACACCACTGACTAGGAGGAACCACGCCAGAAAATCCCAATCAACTTTCTCGACCAACACAGGAAATCGAATTCCGGACCTCAAAGTTAGCGAGTCCACGCTCTAACCACTGAGCCACCGTGGCTCCCAATTCCAAAGGGGACATTAAATATACGCCAATGTGTACACATAACCTCAGTTTTTCGTCCCATCTGAACTAATGACATGGAAAAATACTGGCAAATCACGAGGAACCTCCTCGTCCAACCACGAGACCGAATCCGGGGGTCTCCTAGTTACTTATTCAGAGCCTCTTCACTGAGCCACCGTGGCTCCTCGCCGTCAAGGGAACGGACCTGAAAGACGCATAGTATTGCTCTTTGAAGGTCACAATGTTAAACAGTATCAAAGATACGTATATGTGTTATTTTTGTAATGTGAAATATATTTAGCAGTTTCACGTTTTCTGCTACACATTCTATCCACATACTTTAAGATGGGCATTACACTCGGGAATCGTCCAAGATGACTGGTGATTGGAAAATGCAGTAGAGGTGAATCTACCAAGAAAAGTCTTCTTTAGGCATACGCTTTAAAGCTCTAATTTCTTTTAATTATTTGCAAAGCTATACCCTCGCTTTATATTGTATTTGGTAAGATAACAGGGGTGTTTATATAAATCTACGCTTCGTGATTTTACATTAAATATGACAGAAGGTCGAGGACATAGTTTATGCAAAATTAAGAGTTAAAAATAAACTCATTTATGGAATATTACACCAATACAGTACGAAAGACTTTCATATAAAACGTATAGGGGCGGGTTGATAAAGACCATGATATTACGATGTTTTGATACAAAAACTGATAGCGTTTGAACTTACTGTTATTTCCGATCTCAGTGCGTGAATACTACTCGTATCCTGCAATAATAAATTTGAAATATCACCGTTACACCAACGATAATAGACGTCCCATTTTGTCACTCAAAGTCACATATTGTCTTTATTTTCAACAGAAAGTATAAGAAATCTTATCTACAGTTTACAACAGAAAGTAGGGAACCTTATCTACAGTCTACAATAGAAAGTAGGGAACAATAACTACAGTTTACAGAGAAAGTAGGGAACAAAAACCTTCTCTGTACTACAACAGAAAGCAGGGAACCTTCTGTACAGTCTACACCAAAAAGCAGGGAGCCCTAACTACAGTTTACAACAGAAAGTAGGGAACTCTAACTACATTTTACGAGGTTTTGGGGAATCTTTAATTGTGCACTCCTTGTGTTAAATCCACATTGAACTATGTTTGTTGTCGTGACCCTTGTCCATAGGTCTGTTGATCCGATCTCATTGCTTATTCTCATGATACAATGTTATAAAAATGAAATGGGGTTTAACGTCCTACGGTTCTGTTCTGACTGAGCTAAAGAAGACGGGAGAGAGAGAGAGAGAGAGAGAGAGAGAGAGATATGGGGTTTAACGTCCACTCGACACAAAATAGGTCATTTCGGGACTAACATAGGGTTCAATTTATTTCCATAATTCGCATGCGCGTAGGGGTCTTTAGCAGTGGGAGGAAACCGGAGGGCCCGGAGAAAACCCACGAGGTTGAACAGGCGACCCTACTCCTTGTCACGTACAATCGGTAAAGAAGACGGGCATACGTGGTATAAGGTAAACGTTTAACCATCCACAGTGAAATAGGTTTTTATGTTGTCGTGCTCTGTTGATTCGATTTCATCGCTTACTCTCACAATACAATGTTATAAGAGTTTTATGTATTTATATCACATGACCGGTATTAAGTTAAGGCCAGTGTGTTCAGTTTCCATTAAAACAGCTAGAATGAAACATTTGATCACCACATTTTGTTAAATGAAATGAAATGGTGTTTAACGTCCCTCTTTTCTAGGTCAATCGATTATTGTAGACGGGCCAAATTTTAAAACAAACGCCCAATATTGTACCAATTTCTAGTGTAGATCAGTTGGGTAAACTTGGCAATATTTCTCTTGTTCTTCTTGTTCTCGGTTGACATGAAACTTGACATGCGTTTTCTTTGGACAATATCGACATCAATTGACGGACATTTCGATCTCCGGCTGTGATGACACCATGTATAAATCATAATGGTCGGTTTCTGGTTCATTCATAGTACGTTCAAGACTGTATTTATCTCTCACGCAAATGATAGATGTAGAATATTGGTATAATATAACATTTACACGAATATTAACAATAGTACTTTCTATTTTCAGAACGATAGATTTGAAGATGGCGTTTGGATCATTGCTCCTAGTAGTAAATGTGGTAATCTTGGCCGTCTACATCCAACAAAAGTTCTTTAGTGGGGATAAACTTGAATCTCACCTGGCGAAGGACATCGACACAACATATGATTATATTATAGGTAAAACATATCTTTTTATGTACTACGCAAGGTAAATATAACAGGTGTTGACCAATTTGGTCTGGGTACAAACATCAATGCCATCTAAGTAAAACTAATTCACTTTTTTGTTGTGGTTATATATTCGAATTTGAAGTTAAGTTCTATCCAAAAATGCTATTTATCACCGTCTCCAAGATGATACAATTTGTGATTGGTCAGTTTAAGAAGAAAATTTTCCGTGTGCTTTAAATCTAATCTTTTGTTGAATAATATTTCTTAAATATGTCTTTTTTAGTGGGGGCTGGGTCTGCAGGATCTGTATTAGCCAATCGACTGTCTAAAGATTCTAGTCTGAGAGTCCTGGTACTGGAAGCAGGAACCGACGATCAACAACCGTCCTCCATAGTTTTAAAAGTCCCTATGATGTGTGGATTGGCTCAAAGGACAGAATACGATTGGAAGTATTATTCGGTGCCTCAAAAGAATTGCTGCAAGGGTTTAAAGGGACAGGTATAGCTTTGGTGGTGTGTCTGTTTTGAAAATTCCTTCCCATAATATACTGAAACACAATGAAATCTCATCACTTTTTATAAATGGGGCCTAAATAATCTCCCCATTGTTTATTGTGTTATGTATCATGTAAGTTTTGCTTAGTTGGGTACGGTAACATCTTCCGTATCGTGACTGGTTGTCACACAAAGTAGGCCTTTAAATCCCATTTCATTTTATTTCATTTTGCTAAAAAAAAGGACACCAATTCTTAACTAGCTTTCGTGTATTTTTTGTGATTTACCACCAAAGGTCCACTAAACGCATCACACTTTCGGACTATTATGGGTTCTGCAGTATTTGTATTTCTTGACATAATATATTTGTGGAGGTCCAATGTTCCATCGCGGTGTTCGTCGAGACAGTGGATCGTTATTTTTCAGTCTTTTTTTCCCTTGTATGTGGTGCGTCTAATTGTTCTGGTGGAACTAAAAGACGATGTCCCATGTACACCTTTCTTGTGTACGTAAAAGAACACTTGCCTTGGGATTCAACGAAGAATAAGTCGTGGGGCTGCTGTCTAGACAAAATTTCCATCGAAGTACACTGCTTGGCGTATGCTTTTATTAGCCTAGTTGGTGCAGAACAGTAGGGCGTAAAAACCCATTTCGTTTCATTTCAGAGAATGTTTATGCCCCGAGGTAAAGTTTTAGGTGGATCCAGTCAAATAAACTATAACATTTATGTCCGAGGTCATAGAAAGGATTATGATGGCTGGTCTGAAGCTGGCTGCGATGGTTGGAGCTATTCTGAAGTTTTGCCATATTTTATTAGATCAGAAAATATTCAACCATTCAAAAATATGGAAACAGGTATAATGTATCCTACCTATCACATCCTATGCCATTTATATAACAAGGTAGTATGAAATGGTACTTTGGTAATTTTGCGAACAGTAAGCTAAACAGTGCTTGAAGAAGACTAGAGCTAGTTCCCCTTTAGCTGTTATATAAGAATGATAACCCTAACCTAGTTATATATACTTGTCTGCGATATTACTCAAGGTGGAAGCGGACGTTAGCTCCTTTAAGGAAGGAACGAACGAACTTAGTTATGTACTTAAAACTGGTTATCATGATAAACGGGTTCAGCGATTGTCTTCATTAACCTAAATAACAAATACGACTTCAATATAATATTTAATATAGGATAGAGTAGTTATGTAAGCTGTTTATAATGATAAACACGGACTATGATTGTCTTCATTAACCTAATTAGCAAATTAATACGTTAATATCAAAATTATTTTTTAAAATGATAAGGGATTGGTTCAAAGTCGCATATCATCATTTGAGAGCTTTTCAAAGTTGTGAAATATGAATCTCTTAAACATAGAGAAAAATGGGTTTTAACGTCCATACGACACAAAATAGGTCATTTTGGAACTAACATATGGATCAATTTTATTTCAATAATTCGCTTGCGCGTAGGGATCTTTAGCAGTGGGAGAAAATCGGAGGACCGGGAGAAAGCCCCGAGGTTTGACAGATGTCCCCACTCCTTGCCCCGTACAACCGGGAATCAAAACCACACCAGTTGACTCAATGACAGACCTTATGATACAGTGCACACTGGCTAACCATTCGGTTATCCCCCCCCCCCCAATAATCGCTTAAAGGAATAGCAGTTAAAAAATGTTCAGTTCCATACAGTATGTACACAAATATGTTTAATTTGTTAATAATCAATATGGTTTAAACAAGTCAGGGCCACATAAAATCATCGCTAAAATATTTGATGAACTCCTTTTTTTTATCCGATTGAATCTAAACCTGACGTTTATCTACCGCAGAAAGTTTGATTTTGTTTTCTTCATTAAACGTTTATGTTAAAGGTGTTGAGTACATTTAGCATGGTTTATCATCTCACAAAAAATCAAAATAATCAACAAAATATAAATATGTCAGTTGTCATTGTTCTACAGGATCAATTTGTTCTTCTTATAGAATATCGTGGTACAAATGGTCCACTTCGTGTGTCTGAATCTCAAAAAAAAAATCAACTTGTTCTCAAAATCAAAGAGGAGTAGCCACTATAACTCCATATATGGGGCGATATAATGAAAGAAATTATAATTACGTCATTTTTCATTCTTGTACAGAACCAATCTATTCTCCTTGTAGAATATCATGGTACAAATGGTTCGCTTGGCGTTTCTGAATCTCAAGTGACAGATTTTCCCAGTTTTATGATAGAAGCTGGTAAAGAACTGGGGTATGGAACTGGTGATTATAATGGTAGGGAACAAAAAGGTATGTTAATTACAATTACAATGGGTGGAATATTTCAAAAATACCCAGGATGGAATATTCCAAAAATACCATGGATAGAATATTCCAAAAATACCCAGGATGGAATATCCCAAAAATACCCTGGATGGAATATTCCAAAAATACCCAGGATGGAATATTCCAAAAATAGCAGAGGATGGAATATTCCAAAAATAGCATGGATGGAATATTCCAAAAATGCCATGGATCGAATATACCAAGAATATAATTTTGTAGAATATACCACAAATATCACGGATGGAATATTACCATTAGGTTGACTATAACTTCAATGTGACGTCAGATGGAATATCCCACAAATAACATCAAATGGAATAAACCTAAAGGTGGACTATACCATAAATATACTGTAGTACCATAAATACCATCAATAAATACTGAGAAATGAACCATAAATACTAGAATAAGTTTTCTGTCATTCTATATATTTTTTTTAGTATCGAGACTAACTTAAAATTTTATATGCAGGATTTTTTGCTTCACAAACTACTATACAAGACGGTGAAAGATGTAGTACGGCTAAAGCCTTCTTATGGCCAGCTGTTACAAGTCGCAAAAATCTTCACGTTGTGACAAACGCACACGTTAAAAAGGTAAGTGTGGATTTGTTTATATTTGACAAATGTTGTAACGTATTTCCATTCCAACTGAATAACCTGTTAGACCTAGGACTGATTCTGTGTTCGCTTCCAATTCTACTTCAATGTTATAAAGGATGCGAGCACAGGTAATTTATTCATAATTAAAAATCCTTCTTTTCAGGTAGTTATACAGAATAAGAAAGCAGTTGGTGTAGAATTTTATCACAAAGGAACACTGAAGTCTGTTTCTGTAAATAAAGAGATTATTCTATCAGCTGGTGCTTTGTCTTCTCCACAGATTTTAATGCTGTCAGGGATTGGACCAAAAGAACACCTGAAAACACATAGGGTTAGTGGCTTTAGAGTCAATGTTTAGCGGGTGACATCATTTTCTTATTGGCCTTTGGGACCACGTGGCTAAGTGGGTAAGACGCTGGCTCGCTAGCCTGGAGGTCGGGTGTTCGATCCCTGCATTGGCCGAGAAAGTTCATTCAGTGACGCAGGACGGAGGGCCTGACAAGGAAAGCTGTCTAGTCGTTCGGATGGGACGAAAAACTGAGGTCCCGTGTACACATTGGCGTGCACGTAAAATATCCCTTGGCAGTTGGAATTCGATATAAGAGTAGGCCGTAGTGCCGCTGCCCGGGAAAAATTTCCCTCATAGCACACTGTATGGCGTATGCCCGTCTTCATTAGCCTAGGTTAGGAGCAGAACAGTAGGACGTTAAACCCCATTTCATTTCATTTCATTATTGGCCAAGCCCATGTAGAAGTACATTTTAGCAATAAAGATGCGCAATGTGTTCGACTGTCTTCAAAATTTGTGCATTGTAATGATGTTTTTCTTCATGGGTTTCAATCGACTTGGAACTTGGAATGTTTTTTGTTTGGTCAGCTTCGATGGGATTAACGGAATTTGGGTAGGACGCCACATTGCCAAGATGGCTGCGATGACGTCATGGTAGAGAGAGAAAAGCTAGTTCCTTATATGGTCAATTCACTACTGATTTAAAAAAACAAATTAAAATAAAATAAAGTATCGCCTTGTTACACAACAATTGTATGTATGGGTTTCCCAGATGAACGAAATTCGGTAAAAATAACGTGTTGTCAATTTCAGATACCAGTCGTAGCTGATTTACCAGTGGGTGATAATTTAGAAGATCATAGTAGTTTTATAACTTACTATAAAACAAAAGAACTCGTCTTTAATTCTCCTAACAAAACAGAATCTTTGTGGACGTTAGCCCAGTATTTAACAACAAAAACAGGTAATTGTACATAATTATTCCTACCCTAACTTAATTCTGTTCATTATGGCGACCATCCTTTATTTGATAATTTCCCGGCAGCCCAGACACTTGTCTCGGTGTTGACCGAAAAGGTTTCTCGTGATTTTCCAGCCCAGTTTGCCCATGTCAATGGTGCAGGATGGAAGATTGGAGGAACGTAGAGGTCCCATGTGCATACTTGATAGTTCGCCATGCGGGCAAAAATTCCTGCATAATTAATTAAACTTTAAACCTACTATTCGTCGAGTTCGGTGGGGGTGGAAGGGTGGGTATGGGGTGGATGACCGAATGGTTAGCGCGTGCACGCTGTATCATAAGGTTTGTCATTGAGTTCCCTGGCACATTACCCACAGAATGACGGCTCCTGCACAGAATTGGTTGGGTTTAATTTCAAGTAATTGACTGGGTTCAATTTCAAGTAATTGTCACTGGGTTCAATTTCAAGTAATTGTCACTGGGTTCAATTTCAAGTAATTGTCACTGGATTCAATTTCAGGTAATTGTCACAGGGCTCAATTCTAAGTAATTGTCACTGGTGAATTCAATTTCAAGTACTTGGCTGGATTCAGTAATTACGTGTCTCTGTGTTCAATTCAAGCAACTGGCTGGGCTTGAAGTGATTGATTGGGTTCCAATTGATGAATTGCATTATGTTTTATTCAGGTGTCTTGGCCGCACCTGGAGGTTTAGAATCGTTAGCTTTTATATCCACGGACCCAAAGACACCCGAATATCCTGACTTACAAATACAAGCCGTACATATGCTGACTACTGAAGAAACCTTACACAGCAATGGTGCAATAGACTTTAAGGTAAGAAATAAACTATGGGGGGACACTTAGCCCGGAAGGCACTCATTGTCGAATTGCAAATGTCTTTTAATTTACGACCTAGGTTTTTCGGCCATCCAAACGACTAGAAAATTTTCACCACTAGGTGTTTCATCTTACACTACTCGGTCAACAGATGGATCGAGTCCGGGCACCCTGCTAATTTAGAAAGGGGTGAAAAACACACATTTTATTTCATGAACATAAACACAACTTGGTTGACGACATTATAAGACTACAAGTAGGTTTCTGAAATCGGGGATAGTTACCTAATTTCTAAAAAGGAAAAAAAATATAAAACATGTTTTTCTTTTGCTGTATGCAGATCACATCTCCGGTGTAAACGATTTCACCTAATTTCTAAAAGCTAAAACGTTCTTTTTATTTTGTAGTATGCAGATCAAATCTCTGGCGTGGACGATATGAACGGTTTTTTGTTGTTATATGTTTTATTAAGACCAAAAAGTCATGGTACAGTTCGTCTAAATAGTACCGATGCCATGCAACATCCAATCATTGATCCAAGATATTTAGAAAACAAGGAAGATGTGGAGGGCTTGCTACGAGGTTTGTCAATTTTAATTATTTTCATTGATATTTTTATAGTTAAACATACATCATACAGGAGCTAAATCTGCCTATTGCAGGTCTTCCTTTGGGTTTACTAATTAGACATTTATTGACTTGAAAAGACCTTAATCAACTTTCGATGCCATCTTATATGTTGGATTTTCAATGGATATGAATCCGATTTGATGCTCAACACTCATTGATGATTAAATCCAAAATTGGATACTGGAGACAATTTTTTTATCGTACATATTTTAGCCCCAAAATTCAATCGTTCAGAGTTGATCAAATTGACTGAAATTTCCAGTATATTCCCTTTACATTATATAGCTTTTAACTATTATAACGAGAATTACCAGCTCCTTATCTAATCTTCCATAATTCTATTTTATTATTTACTTTATAAATAATCAGAAAAACTAATTATCAAGACCATTTGATGGATTGTTAATTCCTTTCTTTGCCAAAAGGAATATCAGTTCGGAAATGGTTCAGTTCAGTATTTACAATGGGACCTGGCCTTGCAAACATCTGTTTCTTTACAAATGTCCTTACCGGTGTTCCTTGTTATTGATCTCATTACAGGTGTTCGTTTTTATTGATCTCATGACAGGTTTTCGTTTTTACTTATCTCATTACTTACAGGTATTCGTTTTTCACAGAAACTGGCTAAAACCAAAACTTTCAAATCTCAGGGATCTGAAATGTTTCATAAACCATTTTCACCATGTTTAGAAAAATCTAAATTTGATAGTGATGAATATTGGCGATGTTATATAGGGTATTTTACCCTGGCTCTCTATCATCCTACTGGAACTTGTAAAATGGGACGTATAGAAGATCCAACCACAGTAGTGGATCCACAACTAAGGTAAGTACGTTTGCTATGATGTTTCAGGCAATGAACTCTAGATCATGCTATAATCCCGGCGTGGCCCCTCAACTAAGCGGTGGATACACTAGCCGATTCAATCGGCGCCGCATTGCTATCGAATGCATTTGGCCAAATGTGTGAACACACCAGACGAACCCTTCGCCCGATTCACCAGTTGATTGCATCTCCTTTCACAGTGACCGTGTCTTCAAACATTCAAGTGACTTCTTGATATCAGTTGTGATTGGCTAATGATTTCTACAATCGGGCGAATGCTTCGGTGAAGCGGGCACACTAGACGAATATAATTCGGCCGAATGACGATTTCTCAAGACCGGTTCACACTATTTGCTTCTTTGTATTCAGTTTTGTTTTGTTTTTTATGACGGATGGAACATGTTCCCTCAATGTATTCAATATACCTCGATTCCATTGAATACTGAAACGTTTCTTGATTGATTTAGGTTTAGACTACTTTTTATACATTTCACCGATGTGGTTACTTAATTGCATAGTTGAAGTTTTCCACAATATGCTTACATTCGCATTTCTTGTAGCATATAGCAGATCATGACTCACGCTGACATTACACAATGGTTCCATTGGGTTGTATTCCTGTTTGTTTTCAAATATGAGTGAAGTCTGTGTCACTACAGGCCCGGGACTGTACAGCGCAGTGGACGCTTACGGCTAGCCCCCAGATCCATTCACGTTTTTTAAATTGTTTGTTTATTTGTGTTTTTCTGAGTATGATGTCTTGTCCATGTATTTATTTTGAGTAAATTATATGTGCCCCGGATCCATTCACTTTTTTGGGGGAATTATTTGTTTTTCTGAGTATGATATCTTGTCCATGTATTTGTGTTTGTGTAAATTATGTGTGGTGCAGTCCTCCTGTACTTACTATTAGGTAGCTCCTGATCCGTCGTTGGGATGAAGATGGTTGTTAACACGTAAATGGACCCTTGACAGTTGCAATTTGACGAAGAGTGGGCGGAAACGCCGCTGTCAAAATACCCATCCGGTCATTAAACCACAATGCATTTCATTAGTCTGTGCTAACTCTTCAATGACTGAACACCTAACAAGTCATCCTTGCTCAACCCACATTTTAAAATGACCCGATGTGTATTTATTTTAAATAGTATTTTATTTATTACAGAGTGAAAGGCATCCATGGACTACGAGTAGCTGATGCTTCTATCATGCCATCCATAGTATCTGGCAACACTAACGCACCGTGTATAATGATAGGTGAAAAAGCCGCGGATATGATTCTAGGTATAAAACCACCAACACCTCTATCAGATATGTAGCTGTATATACCATAACTATCAGATTGTTGAACTGATCTGTCAGTATTAAACCGTTATAGTTAAACGTTAATAACTAACAAAGTGTTAAACAAAGGTTGTGAACCGTTATAATTATCAAATTGTTAAACCAGTATAACTACCAGCGTGCTAAACCGTTATAACTACCCGAGGGCTAAACCAGTATAACTACCATAGTGCTAAACCAGTATAACTACCATAGTGCTAAACCGTTATAACTACCCGGGTGCTAAACCAGTATAACTATCAGCCTGCTAAACCAGTATAACTACCAGAGTGCTAAACCTTTATAACTACCATAGTGCTAAACCGTTATAACTACCCGGGTGCTAAACCATTATATAACTACCAGAGTGCTAAACCATTATAACTATCAAAGTTTTAAACCTTTATAGCAATCATAGTGTTAAACCGTTAAACTATCAAAATAAACTGTTTTTACTATCAAAGTGTTAAACCTTTATAGCAATCAGAGTGTTAAACCGTTAAACTATCAAAATAAACTGTTTAAACGATTATAACTATCATAGTTAACTTTTTAAACAGTTATAACTAACATGGGAAAATGTTCAAACGGGTAAAACTAACAGGGCAAACTGTTTAAACGTTTATAGATATTATAGCAAAATGTTTAATATTATATACTAGCCGTGTTACCCAGCGTACACGGGTAGAGATCATCTTTATTTTTGCTAAATCCATAATAATATAATAATCATTAAATATGTGTTATGTAAAAGCTAAATCTGCATATTGCATGTTTTTATTTTGGCTTAAACTCCATAAAGTCTGTCATTGAGTCAACTGGCGTGGTTTCGAATCCCCGGTTGTACGTGGCAAGGGGTAGGGTCGCCTGTCTAAGCTCGTGGGTTTTCTCCGGGTCCTCTGGTTTCCTCCCACTGCTAAAGACCCCTACGCGCAAGCGAATTATTGAAATAAAATTAAACCATATGTTAGTCCCGAAATGACCTAGTTTGTGTCGAGTGGACGTTAAACCCCATTTCTCTCTCTCTCTCTGTTATATAAACTATTATTGAACCATGAATTCACATGACCCGCCTTTAATTGATTCTCTAGAAACTCGGTTGACCGAGAGGTAAACGGATTGCAACACGATCGTAATTTAATCATTTCAGTTTAAACAAATCGTGAATTAAGGCTGAGACTCGATTAACAAGAACCGTTGCTACGATACTAAACAATCTATGCCACATCTTGTCAAAACTTCAAACACGTGTTATAAAATCGTTTAGAACAAAGTTATGTGAATGAAAATTTCAAAATATTCTTTTTGCATTATTTTTTTTAGAACTATTATAGTCAGCTCTTTATCTGCATCTTACATAATGCATATTTAGTTGTAAACTTCATCAATATATACTCTACTAAATACAAACTGAATAAAACCATTAAATTCCTTGTAAATTTCAAATTAATTCGTCCAACTCTTTGCTTTCCTACAGCGAACTCACAAACAAAAAAACAAGCAAACAAACTTTCTCGTTTAGATATATATATATGTAGATCCAAAGGTTAGCATTGACGAGGTTATGCCTGGTCTAATCGGGTCTATGTGTATAGATTTATGGTTGAATAACTGTGATTTATTTATATATATAACGACCTATCAATGTCTACATATCCCCAATAATATTACATTTAATCAATCGTATTATATACGCCCTGATAATAATGTCATTCAGAACTGAAAATAATAATATGAGATGTGACGGACCTTGAATAAATACAAATTGACATGGACTTAACGATACTTTAGAATCAATGGCGGAAAACAACATTTTAAAGTAACACTAGGCAAACCTAGGAAGCCATGTTTACAGATCGGCATTACATAAAACTGCAAAATCTCTTTTGGGAACCCTTAGAGTTGCATTTTTCAAGAGCACAATCTGTCTAATGGAGATCCTTCGTTTGGCCTCAAATGTTATATAAATCATTAATTAGACATTTATTGACATGCCAGGCCCATAATCAACTATCTAGAACTTTGAATGGTTTTGATTTTCAACAAATTGTCAGTTAATGATTTAATTTTAAAATGGATAATCAGACTTGGTTTATTATATTGTCAATCAAGACTACACCGTTCTGCAAAAGACGATAACTCCGCTCAGATTGAAGCAATTTCGCTGAAATTGTCAAGATATTCACTTATCATTATCTACTTTTTAACTATTAAAGCGAGAACTGTAAGCTCTTTATCATTTTGAATCTTTCAATTCGAAATATCCATTCCTAGCATTGTGTCCTAAAATCAGGTTTATGCAATCTAGAATTTTAAAAAAAGAGGTTATGTTTCACAAATACATAAAAAAATAATAACCGCCACGGGGTTACTCTTAAAGGAGGCAAATCGCTAATATTTGGGGCCTAAAAATTGGCACAAATGGGTCGCAACGTATATAATAATGTAATATGGATGTAAATAAACTGATTTACATTCAGTCGTTTCCGTTTTTACTCTAATTTCAAAGCAGTTCTGTTCGGCGAAATATGCCAGAAGTTTCAATCGAATGGCAATCTCTAGCGTCTGATTATTCCAGTCTACACCAATAGTATTTATTGCGCATGCTCTCCATATAAGAATATGAAGTCACCGTTTGACATGACTTGTGGAATATGTCTAAACTCGTTCTTCGAGTCGCTTGTTACAAATTGTGCTGAAACGCATTATGGTACACGATTCGTGTACCAATCGTAAAATGTTTATTTTGTCTTAAATATTGGATATCAGATACCCATCTTTTCCCGGTAAGATCACAACACCAATGTTGATTAAAATTGACAACTAATTCGTGTTTTCAATGTCGAAGGTTTTGGGTGATATTGAGTTAGAGACTTAGATACTTTAACATACTATTTACACGTAATGTTGAAGTCTTAATTGAAAGGTTTAACAAAAATGTTCGTGTCGGTGAAGAAACTTTAAACTATCCAAGGGGCATAATTCCAGCTTTTAACACCACGTACGACCGAGAAAGTCTAAAAGTTAAAGCCCACTACAGATTTCGTCAAGGTTGCGAGATGTAAATAGGGTTAGGGCACGTGTTTTTTGACGAGATTGTAGGTTAGGGTTATCGGGAGGTGAGGGTTCTTTACGGGTTAGGAATAGATCTAGGGCGCTAGCCCTAATTATATCTCGTGACCTTTGACCAAATCTGCAGTGGGTCTTAACGTTTATAACTAATCCGTACGACCGTACAGTGAAGTAATCTTCTCTCCCCAATGAATTCAGTGATAAAGCCTTATCCTGTAACATTTTTGTAACATTCTTAAAAATAGCAAGGTGTACTATCGCATTGCATTTCCGTTAACTACCTATAATTTACTGTTGTTTATCGCTAGGACAAACTAGGTCATTTCGGCATTTGCTTCAATTTTATTTCGATAATTCGCTTGAGCGTTCGGCTCTTCAGTGGGAGGAAATCGGAGAAAACCCACGTCATTGAACAGGCGACCCGGTCTACTCTTTGTCACGCACGTACAAACGGGGGTCGAAAACACGCAACTTGACCCAATGGTAGACCTTATGTTCTCAAGCGAACACGTTGCCCCCCGCCCCCCGCCCCCCTCCCCCGCATTTAAACTAAAATTGTATGCATGTACAGTGATAAACCCAGGGCCGAGTGTAGAAAATGTGGGTGGATCCCAATTTGGCAGGTCCGAAGTTACAAGATACGAATACATTGCAGGATATGAATAACTTTAAATAGGCCTGTATTCATTCATATTTAAGGCCAACTGTGCTTTCCTTCACAATTAGTAATTGATTAATACACGTATACAATTAAAGAATTAATGGGAGTTTTACTGTTCGTTAGCTGTGGGCCCCTTTCTAGTTGTCAAATGTGCCAAGAACCGGCCCTGGATAAACCTGAATTGTACAGGCATTATCCTGACTTTGTCTTGTAACGAATACTATCTACTAAAATATTTGTTCGCTTTTTAACTTAATAAATAATTATGATAATTAAGAGTAATATTCATTTTCTTGTACAATTGGGAGATCCACACATCTTCAAAGACTTAAGATACATTATGTAAGATGGTTAGTGATAAATGATAAGGTCAGCTCAATCTTTCGTCATAGGTCACCAGATGTAAGCATGGTTAGCGCTAACCCCAACCCTAACCCGAACCTTGGACCTAGCCCTAATGCTTACCCTAACCCTTACCAACAATCTCGCCAACAATCACGTACCCTAACCTTATTTACATCTTCGCGGCCTTCACGAAAATTGAGCTAGCCTTAACAAATAGATTTAGCCAGGTAAGATTTAAATAAACAGCTGGCCGTTCTTGCTATAATACGCTCGCAGTTCAAAAATAGATAGTGCAATCTTCAAATTATCGCTATTTGTAGTTTTGACAAAATGTGTGTATTGATTGTGTATCATCATAACCACGCTACTGGTATATTCGAGGCTTAGCCTCCCTTCCCCATTTTCAAATTAAATTATTAAATGGCCGAACCGTTTATCTAGTTAAAATCTCGAGTTTTCGATGACATCGAGAGTTGATTATAAATGTCTAATCAATAATACCACTTATCACGCCTAAAGAAAGACCTGCAATAGGCAAAATTAACTCTTGGATAATGTATCTTTAAGTGATGAAAGGTAACCATATTCATATTGTACACTTGCATGCATGGTTGGTTATAATAAAGGCTTGTGTAAGAGTATATTTATCTTATGTTATATTACGCATTATCCCGTATATTATATTTCACGTACTTGGTTCTGTATTAAGTGTCCAAACTGCATATTACATACATGGTCCTGTATTAAGCGTTCGTATAATATCTGCATCCAAGATCTAGGATTTTCAACATATTTTTAGATAGTTTATAAGTGTATTTTACCTGTTCACCGTCATTCGACCATAAAGTGATAAATGATATTTAGTTTAATCATCCGTATCTATAAAAATCCCTAATAATAAAATAAAAGGTCTTACCTTATTCTAGTAGACGTCGATGCATCTCCTTTAACTACCTGGAATTTACTGTTGTTTAATCCCTCGGTCAGTCATGTGGAACTATTCAAGGTGTGTTATTGTAACTTCTTACAATACAGATAGTGTAATTAACAGGTATATACACATCTACCTGACCAAGTACGTTCTATACATTCGCTTGAACTAAATATAACCGATGCACATAATCTGATAGATTTCATTTTAATGAACAAAAACACATATACTCCTAAGGCCTTGAGACATAACACCCTAATGAACTAGGCGTGTCGGGACTTCTTTCTTAAAACCAATGAAACGATATCGACGAAACATTGTCTGGAAAATTCCCTTTTAACGAATGAAACACAAGATCTTTAGATATGACAGTCGTAATTAGCTGGGCGTGTCGGGGTCTCTTTCTTAAAGCATAGTATCTCGGATATTCGCTTTCATTGAATTAAACACACATAGCTTGCTTCTAAGCAATAATATATACACGGTTTTGTTTCACGTTTTTGTCAAGTCGTAATTTAGTAATATATGTACCTGAACCAGGTGGGTAGTAAATACAGTGTTTTTAATGTATTGATTATTAAACATTTAAAACCTATTATCTGGAAATATTTCCCACAATGACGCTAACAACATATCCCTTTTACATGACTCGGAATGTAGTCCGAGTTAGTCGCATTAGAAACAGCACTTAAAATGATTCTTCTAACTTCCCCATACAGTGGTATGTATCCTGCTTTAATCGCGGGTGGTGGTGGGGGTCAATGTAAATTATGTCACGGTGATCTGTATCCTGGTTTGCTCGGTCGAATTTATGTGATTGTGTTACAATAATCTGCATCCGATTATAGACGGGTGTTTACAGGTTATTCCCCCCAAAAAAACAAGATTCTTTACTTCTGTTATTGTTCGTAAGCTGGCTTGTGACTTCTCATCTTATATCTGTAAATTCAGAAAGAAGTATATTAAAACCCAAAAGACTGGACTATGTAATGAGTGGACGATCTTCACAATTTAAGCACAATTCATATTTATAAATGGGCATTAGCCGAGAATGGGATAAGATAAGTTCCCACTGGCAAGTCAACTCTTTGCTGTATTCTCTGGTCCCAAATCGCAAGCATGAGGCTGTAGATAAGAAAATGCATGCTTTGGAATACAATCTTGTCGAAAGTAACCGTTTCAGTATTCCGACGTTTGATATTCCAGTTAGCCTCTTGTGAGTAAATGGCCATCAAATTCCGGCTTTATCCAAATGCACCACTGGAGACGTTATCAACAAACCAATTCAAATATAAAGTAGAATAGTGAATCGGTACTATAGATTTAACACAATAAGTATTATGAATTTTTCAAATGTGTCCAAAATGGGTTTGTTTTCTTTTTTGTCAATAATTAAAACAAAAACCTGTTAATATCAGCGTAATCGCAAAGTGTTGGGTTTGGCACTAAGATCCTTTGTTATAGTTCCAACCAAAGGTTTAGTTTCACAAGTACTAGAGGATAATGGTGGATAGAGTGATGGTTTGGAAGACTTTGGTTTAATAATTTCGGTGTTAAATACATATTCTACGAGAGAACGGAGAGCCAAATAGATACAGAACTCGAATTTCACTGTGGGGGATCACGTGGCTAAGTGGGTAAAACGCTGGCTCGCTAGCCTGGAGGTCGGGTGTTCGATCCTTCCATTGGCCGAGAAAGTTCATTCAGATTTCCCGGCGTGGTTTCCCCTTGTCAGTGATGCAGGATGGAGGGCCTGAAAAGGACAGCTGTCTAGTCGTTCGGATGGGACGAAAAACCGAGGTCCCGTGTACACATTGGCGTGCACGTAAAAGATCCCTTTGCAGTTGGAATTCGATATAAGAGTAGGCCGTAGCGCCGCTGCCCGGGCACAATTTCCCTCATAGCACACTGTGTGGCGTATGCCCGTCTTCATTAGCCCAGGTTAGGAGCAGAATAGTAGGACGTTAAACTCCATTCCCTTTCATTCATTTCGAATTAACTGCACGAGGATCTACGGAACTAAGCCAAACCGAGTACCAGGTCCACTTCCGATATAAGGTTACTTGGTGTATATCATAACATGCTAAATATTATAAAATATTTATATTGAATACAATTAAATATCAGGACTTTATGTTTTTATGTTATTCCGTACTACCATATTATAATATATTTATATCGAAAAACAATTAAATATCAAGACTTTATTGTTATATTTAATTCCGTACTGCCATTGATGCATGACCCGGTGGTGCTATCATTAAAATGCGTCAATGACAGATTATAATTATTATCTTATAATAATGAGTTAAAGAGTCACCCAATTCTGTAATAATAACAAATCGATTTCAGTTGAGAGAGAGAGAGAGAGAGAGAGAGAGAGAGAGAGGGAGAGAGAGAAATGGGGTTTAACGTCCACTTGACACAAACTAGGTCATTTCGGGACTAACATATGTTTTTTAATTTTATTTCAATAATTCGCTTGCGCGTAGGGGTCTTTAGCAGTGGGAGGAAACCGGAGGACCCAGAGAAAACCCACGAGGTTGGACAGGCGACCCTACTCCTTGTCACGTACAACCGGGGATTTGAAACCACGCCATAAAATATGATTCTATTGTCTCTCCTCATCTGTTATAAAAAGGTCCTTATTATTCTCAAAATAAAATGAAATGAAATGAAATGGGATTTCACGTCCTCTATGGCCTAATCTTATATCGAATTCCAACTGCCAAGTGATCTTTTACGTGCATGCCAATGTATACACGGGGCCTCCGTTTTTGGTCCCATTCGAACGACTAGACAGCTGTCCTTGTTAGGCCCTTAGTCCCGCGCTACTGACAAGGGGTGAACCACGTCGGAAAATCACGATGAACATTCCCAGCCAAGGCAGGGATCGAGCACGCGACCTCCAGGCTAGCGAGCCAGCGTCTTACCCACTTAGCCACAGTGCCTCCATTCTCCAAATAGCCAACGTTTACCAGAGTGCCTATTATGGCCTAATCTTATATCGAATTCCAACTGCCAAGTGATCTTTTACGTGCATGCCAATGTATACACGGGGCCTCCGTTTTTGGTCCCATTCGAACGACTAGACAGCTGTCCTTGTTAGGCCCTCAGTCCCGCGCTACTGACAAGGGGTGAACCACGTCGGAAAATCACGATGAACATTCCCAGCCAAGGCAGGGATCGAGCACGCGACCTCCAGGCTAGCGAGCCAGCGTCTTACCCACTTAGCCACAGTGCCTCCATTCTCCAAATAGCCAACGTTTACCAGAGTGCCTATTAGATAGACTTATATTCAGTTGGGTGTACCTTAGTCACTGGAAGTTAAGTTATGAATTACATGTACATGTATATAAGTTTATAATAATTGGATAGTTCCGCGTGGTTCCCATTCTTCATAGCGTTGGGTTTTTTTTAGTATCTAACTCTATTATTTGCTATTCACTGGTATATATAACAGCTTCTAAAATGTTAAAGATCTATTTTGTATTTTAACTTACCTGTAGTTAAGGGTTCAGCTATAATGTAAATACTATTGACACTAAGTGAAAAGGGGTAGCGAACCTGAGAGACAACACCGCTTGGCACAGTGCCTGTTAATACCTTTATAATAATACCAGTGTTATAAAGGTACCTCCATTTTAGTTTGCGATATAAGCAATATATACCTGTTCGATAAAATTGTCAGGTAAGTTTACAAAATTGTTATAAAAATTATACTAAATGAATAATTTACAGAACTGCTAAACATGTTGTCATGTATTCCTCTCATTAAAGTAATTAATATTCAGACTGTCGACCACCCTTTAACATTACGCCGCCTCTAACTGATTGATATAATAAGCCTTGGAATTAAATGTTATACTTTCGGCGACCCAACTTTCCGACACAACCCGCCCACCATTCCTCCCCATAAAAGATATGACGGCTGTTGCCCTCCAGGGAAACCTTTAATATCTTAAGAAATGACACGGTCTACAAGTCGCACATATACTTTTAGTTCTATTGTCACTGAGGTGTAAGGATAATTATTGAAATACCTCTAATGGGGACTAATCGTGTTCGCCTCACAGTGTTATGCTTTTCAACCACCCAGCGCTTTGTTCTCAATACATAAAGGTATAATTTACAGTTCATTGAATATATCTCTTTATAAAATAATTCGCATGCATGACTGATTTCATATTAAAGAGATTTTGTCACAAGGAAACAAAACCTGACATGAATGAAATATGCTAAATGTCTAATCCCTTGATAAAATAACCATATTAAGCTGTTAACCCTACAGGTTATTGTCATTAAGTAAATTGATTTAAAACTGTATCGTACCATGAGAGACAACGGGAAAGAGAGAGAGAGAGAGAGAGAGAGAGAGAGGGAGAGAGAGAGAGAGAGAGTTGAACGTCCACTCTACACAGACTAGGTCATTTCGGGACTAACACATGGTTTAATTTCATTTCAATAATTCACTTGCGCGTAGGTGTCTTTAGCAATGGGAGGAATCCGGAGGACCCGGACTAAACTCACGAGGTTGGGCAGTCGATCCTACTCCTTGTCACCTACAAGCGCGGAATCGAAACCATGCCATTTGATTCAATGACAAACCTTATGGTTTCACGCGCACGCGTTAAACCACTAGACCAATCATCCACCCTCGTACCATGAACAGCTACAGAAGAATATATTCGCTAACTGAATGAATACTGAATAGTGTGGCAATTAACTAGTCTTCTTTATAACGAGAAAGTTTGGCAAATAACTAGTCTTCTTTATAGAGAAAAAGATGGGAAAATAACTAGTCTTCTTTATAGAGAGAAAGTTGGGAAAATAACTAGTCTTCGTTATAGAGAGAAAGTTGGGAAAATAACTAGTCTTCGTTATAGAGAGAAAGTTGGGCAAATAACTAGTACTCTTTATAGAGAGAAATTTTGGCAAATATCGTGATATCGAGAGTGGTGGGGTGGGTGGGTAGGTTTAGTTGGGTGTCAGGCAAACATTATTGACCAAACAATCTTAATGTAATGTATATCAGATATTAGTGGAAGGTTAATTGTGGTATTGTCGTAGAAAGTAATGTGTTATTGTCGTGGAAATTATTGTGCAACATTTGCATTTCGCATCCAGTTTTCTACAGTTTGATACCTGCACTTTGATTGGTTAATTAAGAAAACAAAATCAAAATATCAACGGTAGATAATCTCCAGACTTCCAATGAATCGGGGGAGTTGGATGGCCGAATGGTTAGCACGTGCGTGGTGTATCATAACGTCTGTCATTGAGTCAACTGGCGTCGTTTCGAATACCCGGTTGTACGTGGCAAGGAGAAGGGTCGCCTGTCCAACCTCGTGGGTTTTCTCCGGGCCCTCCGGTTTCCTCCCACTGCTAAAGACCCCTACGCACAAGCGAATTATTGAAATAAAATTGAACCTGTGTTAGTCCCGAAATGACCTAGTTTGTGTCGAGTGAACGTTAAACCTAATCTCTCTCTCTCTCTCTCTCTCCAATGAATCGGTTCGGAAAGAAGAAAAGAAATTAAAACGGGGTTAAACACCCTGGTCCGACTAAGCTAATGACGACGGGCATACGCCATAGGGTATAAGCCTTGTCACATTACAGCAGAGTGTAGACCAGGTCATATTACAATATAGCATATGCCTGGTCACATACACGAGACATTAAATCGTGCAATCAAATTGCATTTACATGTTTACACTATTTCTATATTAATATACACATCAACTTTTATTAGTTGTGGGAGTCACGGTGGCTAGGTGGGTTAGACCCTGGCTCGTTACCCTAGAGGTCGGGTGTTCGATCCCTGCATTGGCCGAGAAAGTTCATCGGGATTTTCCGACGTGGTTTCCCCTTGTCAGTGGTGCAGAACGGAGGGCCTTGCAAGGGCAGCTGTCTAGTCCTTCGGAATGAACGTAAAAGATCCCTTGGCAGTTGGAATTCGATATAAGAATAGGCGATAGTTCCGCTGCCCGGGGAAAATTTCCCTCATAGCACACTGTATGGCGTATGTCCGTCTTCATTAGCCCAGTATAGGAGAAGAACAGTAGGACGTTAAACCCCATTTCATTTCATTTCATTTCATTTTATTGGTTGTGTAGTATGGTTATTTCAATAATTTGCTTACGGTTAATCAAAAGGTTCTCTGTCTTAAAAAGCGACGAGAGAGTATATACTAAATTATAGAAGAGGGGCTGGGGCGGTTTTTAAATGTATATGTTAATATTCAGTCGTCTAACACCCAAACGGATGGACACACTTGAGTTGAGAATATGAATGGTACAATGACATAAATAGAACAGCTTTGTTGGAGTGAAACCACTCACTCCTACGTAATTCATTAACTGAATACACTCAAGCCGTCCATTTATATTAGTTGAAGTCAGCTCGTTGGAAAGGTAAGTCGATGAACATAATCATAGTGACATTATTTTGTTTGCGAGTAGTGCCATCCTCCTTCCTGTACGTACTATCATCTCCTTACTAATTTTTAGCCTTTTTTTCCAAAATTCTATCCGGATCATGACGTCAACTATCGCTATCACGAAACGCCATTCGAACAACCGTTTGCATTATTTTAATTGTGTCTGTCTTGTAATAATTGCTAAGTGGGTTACAGGTCAGGGTCTGTACAAAACTGCTGACGCTTACGATTTGTTTTTTGTTGTTTATTGCTTGCCGGGTGTTGCCGGTTTGTTTGTGTGCGGTGTGGTCCTCACAGTTTGAAATGTTTATATTAAAATGAATAGTGTTTAAACTCAACTACTGATATCTTCTCGCACATTGCGTGAATACTGCCCGTATTGTGTTCAAAAGAGCACTGCAATATCACCACATTACGTGAATACTGCCCGTATTGTGTTCAAAAGAGCACTGCAATATCACCACGATATGTCCGATAATGTACGTCTCATGTTTTGACACAAATAGAGTTTAACGATCTACTTTACGGATACGGGTTAATGAAGATGGGTGTCAATCATACAGTGTGCTATGAGAGATATTGTACCCAAACCGCCGTGTTTCCGACTTCAATCTAGCAAGGGTCTGTTATGTCCATACCAATATGTAAACGGACCTCGGTTTTTAGTACCATCGGAAGGACTAGACGCTGTTCCTTTGCCTAGCCATCCGCCATGTCCTACTGATAGGTTGAAACCAGGCTGGAAAATTCCGAGGAACTTTCTCGTCCAATGACCTTCTGGTTAGTGCGCCCATAAATGTCAGTTTTCAATCACAAGCAGTGAACCCCAAATACAACATAAAGCTAATATCTGGGAAGGCTTTAAGTGTGCATCCCTTGTTAAATGTATTACCATTGGTTTATTTGACAAAGTCAGTCGTGTGTGAGGGAAGTTTGGTCGTGGTCATTGTCCATAGGTCTGTTGATCCAATCACATTATTTACCGTAGAGTTCATGATGCAAGGTTAAAAGTGTTACCTGAATACAGTTATATAGACAAAGGCTGGTACGGATTCTGTCCTGGGTTTACAATAAACGTTATATTTGTTTTGTTTTTATATAAATGTTCTTATAACAAAATCGAATGTATGTCTAGTACTAGTTTCTTTAGAGCATTGGATATACTACTTCGTGATTTTAAGGCGTTTCTTTTAGGCTGTATATTTCAATCTCGGGTCCCAAAGAAATGTTTACTGGTCTTTTATCTCTGGGAAAAGTCGTCGGCCATTTTGAATGTCACGTGATGTATCCTTCCGCCGGTCGCTTCACAAAGATCCAAGATGTCGGCTCAAACTCGCGTATCGCCGAATCATTCACATTGAGCGCTAAAAATAGTTCCCAGTAAATCATCAAATCGGTTGTTTTCGAATGAATTTTTGATGTTAAAATGTGGAAAATGTTCCAAGGATCATTAATATGTAACTCATGCGACTAACCGATGCCTATTTGTCGAGAAATTGACAGCATTTCATTCCAAAAAATCCAGCCATTTAGGACCGTCTGGGGGGAAGATCTTAGGAACTGAATTAAGACGGATTAATGGCCTTCGAGTTTTCGCAGAGACAAGAAAAAAAAACCCCGTTAAACTTCTCTCTGGGAGCCGAGATTGTTTATCTGCCTCTCTAGTAAATATTATATATTGGTCATAATATAACATTTACACGTATTTCTTTTAATATTCTTTTCTATTTTCAGAACGATATTGATTTGAAAATGGCGTTTGGGTCATTGCTTTTGGTAGTAAATGTGGTCATCTTGGCCGTCTACCTCCAACAAAAGTTCTTTAGTGGGGATAAACTTGAATCTCACTTGGCGAAGGAGATCGACACAGCATACGACTATATTATAGGTAAAGCATAAATTGTACTCATGTACTGGAAATATAATTATGATCTTCCCTGAAACGCACATTTTATTTTTAGTGATTTGATTTGATAAAAGTGGGGACATCAACATCATTACCTATTACCATAGTTTCCCGTTAAGTACATGTACATAAAAGCAACCCCAGACTTACGTATTTACAACGACAACTGTGCAGTGTAATTATTCGCCCTACAGTCTGGTTGATCCACCAATTGAAACTCAATAACTTTACTTGAAGAGAACACAAATCGACCAAACATAAAACACGTCAACAGAGTATATAGTCTATATGTAAACATCAATGCCATCTGCGTGCGTATATCCACTTACCCTACATCAGGCTGGTTGGTGGGTTATTGGAATGACTAGATTGTGCCAGCTACCAAAGCCTTGGGGCTTTAGAGCTTTTTGCCACCAAATGCTAAAACGACACAAGTTAGATTGTTTCTTTACTTAAGTCTTAGTCAATATCTGCAGTAATTTAAATTCGAATTGCAAATTTATTCATAAATTGACAAAAAATATTTTTGCTCATCTTAAAACGTTTCCATGTGCTTTAAATCTAATCTTTGTTGAATAATAATTTTTATATTTGTCTCCTTCAGTGGGGTCTGGGTCAGCAGGATCTGTATTAGCCAATCGTCTGTCTGGAGATTCTAGTCTGAAAGTCCTGGTACTTGAAGCAGGAACCGACGATCAACAACCGTCCTCCACAGTTTTAAAAGTTCCTATGATGTGTGGATTGGCTCAAAGGACAGAATACGATTGGAAATATTATTCGGTGCCTCAAAAGAAATGCTGCAAGGGTTTGTGGGGAGAGGTATGACTTGGGTTGTGTATCTGTTTTGACAAATGTCTGCACTGAGACTCAATAAAAACGCAACACTTTTATAAATGAGTGATTGTTAAATTTGAGAGGTACAATTTAATCTTGGAATGTAACAACATCAGATCACGACGATAACTCGTTCAGTTTTGTGGAAGACACAACGACCTGCCAATCTTGTTATGTATTATCCTAGCCTTCAATTGAAACACAACGAAGCTTCTGGAATATACATCCTATTTAACTTAGTACTGGACAAGGAGTAGGGATGCCTGTCCAACCTTGTGGGTTTTCTCAGGGTCTTCCGATTTCCTGCCACTGGTAAAGACCCCTACGCGCAGGCGAATTATTGAAATAAAATTGAACCACATGTTAGTCCCGAAATGACCTAGTTTGTATCGAGTGGACGTTAACCTCTCTCTCTCTCCCTCTCCCTCTCGGTCGATTGAAAGTAATTTAGGCGTTGTATCTCTTGTTTGTACTGAGTAAGGCACTGGGTCACTAATCAGGTGGCCTTCCTCATAGCACATTGTATGATGTATGTATGCATCTGTTGGTCCGCTTTCGATAGAAATGTTACAGACTATTTCATTTCTTTCATTTCAGAGAATGTTTATGCCGAGAGGTAAAGTGTTAGGGGGATCCAGTCAAATAAACTATCAACTTTATGTCCGAGGTCATAGAAAGGATTATGATGGCTGGTCTGAAGCTGGTTGCGATGGTTGGAGCTATTCTGAAGTCTTGCCATATTTTATTAGATCGGAAAATATCCAACCCTTCAAACATATGGATAAAGGTAAAATAGTACCCGACAATATTTTGTACTGCCATATATAAAAGTAATATTTAATGTACTTTAGTCATTTTGATAATAGAGTTATCTCCCCCTAGTAAAGTTTACCAGAGTTATTTTCCTTGCCCGAAAGAGGCGTGGCTGCACGATGAGATATGCTGATTATGGTTACAGCAGAAGCTGAATTATAGCTCTCTCGTAGTGAACACATGATGTGGCAGCTATTTTTATTTCAGTTTGCGTGGCTATCTTTAATTTTATTACAGAATAAACTTTTTATACTTATAGAGTATCATGGTACAAATGGTCCACTTGGCGTGACTGAATCTCATGCGACAGATTTTCCTAGTTTTATGATAGAAGCTGGTAAAGAACTAGGGTATGGAACTGGTGATTATAATGGTAGGGAACAAAAAGGTATGTTAATTACAATTACAATGGGAGGGGTATATTAAATAAAACGGACGTGACATATACTAAACATTATGTATGGACTATCCTGGTCGGTACATACCATAAATACCATGTGTAGAATGTTCTATAAATATTGTGGATAGAATGTTCCATTGATACAATGGATATCAATGATATAATGTTCCATAAATATCATGGGTGAAATGTTCCATAAATATCATGGTTGGAATATAAATTCTATGCATAGAATGTTCCATAAATACCATGGATAGGATGTCCCGTAATATTAGGATAGAATGTCGCGTAATACCATGGATAGGATGTCCCGTAATACCATGGATGCAATATGCAATAAATACCATGGATAGAATGTTCCATAAATACCATGGTGCAATGTACCATAAATACCATGCATAGCATTGGTGAAATGTTCCGTAAATACCATGGATAGAATGTTCCATAATTACCAAGAATACAATGTTCCAAAAATACCAGAGGTGTACATAAGGGATAAAAACCATGGACGCAATATAACATAAATTGATAGGTTGTATTATAACATGATTCTTTTCTATTAAGACCTGCCATTCTGTGTTTTGATATAAAGACTATAAATTAATATTTGATATGCAGGATTTTTTGCTTCACAAGCTACTATACAAGACGGTGAAAGGTGTAGTACGGCTAGAGCCTTCTTATGGCCAGCTGTGAAAAGTCGTAAAAATCTTCACGTTCTGACAAACGCCCACGTTAAAAAGGTAAGTTTGGTCTTGTTTATCTTTGGCACATCTTTTTACGTATTTTGATCCCGAAGTCCATGTGGATTTTTTTTGACGCGCGGGGGGGGGGGGGGGGGGGGGGGGTAAGGGAATCACCTGCGTTTGCTTCTAATTCTACTTCCATGTTGATCAAGGATGAGCACACTAGTTTTTTTTTTCTTTCAGGTAGTTATAAAGAATAAGAAAGCTGTTGGTGTAGAATTTTATCACAAAGGAACACTGAAGTCTGTTTCTGTAAATAAAGAGATTATTCTATCAGCTGGTGCTTTGTCTTCGCCTCAGATTTTAATGCTGTCGGGGATTGGACCAAAAGAACACCTAAAGGCACACGGGGTAAATCACTTTACTTGAAGTTTTTCATTTTTCGGAAAATATCATATTTTCCACGGTTTAATCCACTCTAAAATGCTGGCTTGTGCGGCCTATGAGACATATACATGTATATCATCCACAGTTGGATTTTCAGTTCATCGTATCTTTATAAATATCAAACCAATTTTGGACTGATTTTCCTTTAACAAATTTAGCTTTCACAACAGTGTAGCTCTATAAAGGACCACAATTCCCCTACATGACAATCAGGGGCTTTAACTCAAAACAAACTATTGTTTGTTTTAGTTTTATTGACGAAGCACATGTAGACGCACTCGCTATTGCTTATGTGTCTACCTGTCTTCAACACAGGTTTTTTTTAACGTTTTTTAGCGTCATATAAATAATAATAAAACTTGATGACGATGCAAAATAATTGGTTGTCTATTTCAGATACCAGTCGTAGCTGATTTACCAGTGGGTGATAATTTAGAAGATCATATTAGTTTTTTGAGCTACTATAAAACAAAAGAACTCGTTTTTAGTTCTCCTAACAAAACAGAATCTTTGTGGACGTTAGCCCAGTATTTAACAACCAAATCAGGTAGAGGGAGAGAAAGCGGGTCCTTTCGGGATTAATATTTGACGTCATTCCAAAAATAACGTCGCCACTCAGTCAGCAGACGACTGTCTCTCGAGACAGTCTACATTTCCTATTTGCTTCTTTGTATTCAGTTTTGTTATTGTTTTTTTGTGACGTATGGAACATGTACCCTATATGTATTGAATACTGAAACGTTTCTTGATTGTGTTTAGAGCATTTAGGTTTAGACTACCTTTTTATACATTTAACCGATGTGGTTACGTGTATAGTTGAATTTTACTACATATGCTTACATTCGTATTTCCTGTATCATATAGCAGATCATGACTCATGTTGGCATTACACAATGGTTTCTTTGGGTTGTATTCCTGATTGTTTTCAAATTTGAGCGAAGTCTGTGTCACTACAGACCCGGGACTGTACAGTGTGGTGGACGCTTACGGCTAGCCCCCGGATCCATTCACTTTTTTTTAATTGTCTGTCTGTTTGTGTTTTCCTGAGTATGATGTCTTGTCCGTGTATTTGTTTTTTTTGTGTAAATTTTGTGTGGTGCAGTCCCCTGCACTTACTAATACAGTTCAGTTCGAATTTATTAATTTACTTGTGCGCAGGGTCTTTAGCAATGGGAGGAAACCAGAGAACCCGGAGGAAACCCACGAGGTTTGACAAGCGACCCTACTCCTTGTCAAGCGGGGAATCGAAACCACGCCACATGACTCGATGGCAGACCTTATGATGCAACGCATGCACATCAACCATTAGGCAACCCAACCACTAGGTTTAATTTCAAGTAATTGGTTCGGTTCAATTTCAAGCAATAGACTGAGTTCAGTTTCAAGTAATTGACTAGGTTCAGTTGGTTGGGTTCAAATTCAAGTAATTGACTGGGTTCAATTTCAGTTTACTGACAGGGTTCATTTCCACGTAATTGACACGGTTCAATTTCAAGTAATCGATTCGGTTCAAATTCAGGTATTTGATTCGGTTCAATTTCGGGTAATTGATCAGGTTCAATTTCAAGTAATTGATTCTGTTCAATTTAAAGTAATTGATTTGATCCAATTTCAAGTAATTGATTTGGTTCAATTGTAAGTAATTGATTCGGTTCATTTTCAAGTAATTGATTCGGTTCAATTTCAAGTAATTGATTCGGTTCGATTTCAAGTAATTGATTCGGTTCAATTTCAAGTAATTGATTCGGTTCAATTTCAAGTAATTGATTCGGTTCAATTTCAAGTAATTGATTCGGTTCAATTTCAAGTAATTGATTCGGTTCAATTTCAAGTAATTGATTCGGTTCAATTTCAAATAATTGATTTTGTTCTATTTCTGTTCTTGTGAATAATCGATTATTTTTTACTTTTTAATGACATAAAATTGCATTATATTTTGTTTAGGTGTGTTGGCGACACCTGGAGGTATAGAATCATTAGCCTTTATATCCACGGACCCTAAAAGACCCGAATATCCAGATATAGAAATACATGCAATAGATTTACTGTTTAACGAAGATACGATACGGGACCTGGTTGGAGTAGACTCTAAGGTAAGAATGAATTGCATAACCTGTACAAAAGAGAAAGCTGTTTTTATTGTAGGCGGGTGTGTTAGCTAGAGGAAACCAAACGGCGAAATTATTAACATTACAGATAACAGAGAATCCTTTTAGTAAATATAGTATTTATTGACATCTGGAAAAATGAAATTAAACGGTGTTTTCACGGACAGCGGCGTTACGGCCTACTCCTATATCGAATTTCAACTGCCAAGCGATCTTTTACGAGCACGCTAATGCATACACCAGTCCTTGGTGGTGTAATGAAACTATAAACCAGGTTTCGTAACTTTCTTTTGCAGTATGCCAAGTATTATTCGGGTGTTAACGATGTGAACGGTTTTACTCTGTTATATACTTTATTAAGACCAAAAAGTCATGGTACACTTCGTCTAAATAGTACCGATGCCATGCAACATCCAATCATTGATCCAGGATATTTAGAAAACAAGGAAGATGTGGAAGGCTTGCTACGAGGTTTGTCAATTTTAGCTTTAAAAATATTGTTTGTAAGTCATTTACTGATAGGACTAACATTGAAATAACACAAACACAACTTTATCGATAACAATCAATAGCAAATTTAATAATTACCAAGATTTGGATTTTAAAGTCTATGGGCGCCATCTGGAAATATCAGTCCCGAACTGGTTCCGCCCTGTTCCGCCATGACTAGACCCTTTTTACTTATATCATTACAGATGTACGTTTTTACTTATTTCATTGGTTAATTTTTACTTATATCATTACTGGTGTTCATTTTTACATTTGCCAGTACATGCGTTCATTTTTACTTATATCATTACAGCTGTTCGTTTTTCACAGAAACTGACTGAAACCAAGACTTTCAAATCTCAGGGAACGGAATTTTTCCATAAACCATTTCCACCATGTTTGGAAAAATCTAAATTTGATAGTGATGAATATTGGCGGTGTTATATAGGGTATTTTACCCTGGTTATCTACCATCCTACTGGAACTTGTAAAATGGGACGTACAGAAGATCCAACCACGGTAGTGGATCCTCAGCTAAGGTAAGTACATTACAATAGTATGCTCTGAGATAGCACCAGCGGTCCAACAAGTAAAGTGATGGGCAGAAAAGCACGTAAAAGGAACCACAACAGTTGAAATTCGATGAAAAATTGATCACTATCCGGGTACAATTTCCTTCATCATGCAGAAACGTAAGACATTAAACCTCATTTTGTTAGTCCGTGCTAACTCGTAACTGACTGGACACCAAATAATTCTTCCTTGTTCAACCCACATTTTAAAATGGCCTGATGTGTATTTATTTTAATTAGTATATTATTAACATTTTATTTATTACAGGGTGAAAGGCATCCATGGACTGCGAGTAGCTGATGCTTCTATCATGCCATCCATAGTATCTGGCAACACTAACGCACCGTGTATAATGATAGGTGAAAAAGCCGCGGATATGATTCTAGGTATAAAACCCCCAACACCTCTATCGGATATGTAGCTGTACATACCATGACAGAGTCTTCAATCGTTATACGTATCTTTGTGTTCAACCGCTATACGTATCTTTGTGTTCAACCTTTATAATTATCAGAGTTTTAAACCATTATAATTATCAGGATGTTTACATGTTAGGACACCTGTTAGGACTATCAAAATGTTAAACCATTATAATAATCACAGTGTTTACCATTTAGGACCAATAGAGTGTTGAACCGTTAGGACTATCAAAGTGTTGAACCGTTAGGACTATCAGCGTGTTAAACCGTTAGGACTATCACTTGTCTACGATATCACCTTAGGTGGAAGTGGACGTAAAACTCCAGAAACGAACGAACGAGGACTATCAGAGTGTTAAACCATAATAATTATCAGAGTTAAATCGCTAGGATTATCCGAGTATTAAACCATTATAACTGCCACTGTATTTAACTATCAGAGCAAATTATTTAATATGTTATAACTCTCATAGCAAACCGTTCGACGGTTATAATTACTGTTAAACGGTTATAACTATCATAGTAAACTGTTTAAATGGTTATCGCTATAATAGCTGTAACGCCACTGACGGTGTCTCCCCATCTTCATTAATCTTTTCTAAACCCATGCCATCATTGGATCTTTTTTTTAGTCGGTGAAATGAAATGAAATGAAATGGGATTTAACGTCCTACTGTTCAGCTCCTAACCTGGGCTAATGAAGACGGGCATACACCATACAGTGTGCTATGAGGGAAATTTTGCCCGAGCAGCGGCGCTACGGCCTATCGAATTTCAACTGCCAAGGGATTATTTACGTGCACGTCAATGTGTACACCGGACCTAGGTTTTTCGTCCTATCCGAACGACTAGACAGCTGTCCTTGTCAGGCCCATTTTCAGTCGGTGTTCCACATGACTTCGTATTGAGATCTCTCCCATTTATTGTACTTTTTAACGAATAGATTTTCATTACACAAAATGGCATGTCGTTTCAAAGACTTAAGTTTGATCGGCATTAGGCACTGAAAGTCAAATAGATTTAAATAGATTAAGGAATCAAGTCTGTGGATTCAAAAATATAATACAGATCTATATTTCATTTCGTTTGTTTTTTGGGGTTTTTTTTTGTACTTTCGATGGCCTACACTACATGAAGATCTAACCGGTTGCACTGAAAGGTCGTGTCAGGGGTCGTACGAGCGGCTCTTGACCCTATGACATCAGACATTGATTAATCAATCAGCGTTGACGTTTCTAGTGGTTTACCCACAGTTCCGTGCATTGCACGCCAAGAACTCGCCATAACAGACCATTTCATTGAGTTTAATCCCTCACTTCAACCAGAACACCGGTAATATAACAACTCTTCCAGATTTTAGTGTAGTAAAGACAAGTAAAACTCAAATGGCGTTCAGAGATTTTCGTTAATATAGATATGCGTACTAAATGATTCATACTTTTCTGTTGAACAAGCTCTATACCGTTAATATTCAGTTTGTTTACCAGGTTTACTTTCAGTTTTAGTTAACTGTATCGACAATAATATATAATCGCCTTGATGTTTGAATAGAAAATATGGTGTATGTAAATAAAGTTGATATTTACAATGTTAGTCTTCCGTTTACATCGATCGACACGATCAATTATATCAAAACAGGTGTCACGTTACAACAGAGTATACTCCTGGTGACATTATAACAGCGAGAGAGAGAGAGAGAGAGAGAGTTTATTGTCCACTTGACATAAAGTAGGTCATTTCGGAACTAATATATGGTTCAATATTATTTCAATAATTCCCTTGTGCGTAGGGGTCTTTAGCAGTGGGAGGAAACCGGAGGACCCGGAGAAAACCCACGAGCTTAGACAGGCGACCCTACTCCTTGTCACGTACAACTGGGAAATCAAACCGCATTACAACAGAGTATAGTGATGTCTTTTTACAACAGAGTATGGACCTGGGCCTTGTTTCTCGAAATCTTAGCTAAAGATAAAATCCAAATGTTAGTAGATACTTCGATTTTGATTGGCTAAGCACTAAAATCAGTTTAATATTATCTAATCAAATTACTAAAATGCTCCTTCCACCACTGGAAAAGCTAATATAACTTTAAAGATTGACATAGCCGAGGTTCATGAGCTGCAAATACTCGTTACCACGGCTTCAAGTGTATCTATATAAGTGATCTGCAAACATGAGGATGGGGCGAGTGGCATTCATTTGTAGGGAAGGCGACTTTTTTCGGCTAAATATCATGGTGGCACGGCACATACGTTATTCAAAGTTTACATCATTCGCTTACACGTCACATTTTATTGGATGTGTAGTATGTTGCGTAATGTCTTAGACGGTTGATAAATTAAAATAGTTTTGATTTAACGTGAAAAATATAATCGCTAAGGTGATGTGTAAAAGTAATTACATTTATTTTCTTGGTGAGAGTGACATTGCCCCTTTAAGTTTTAAATTTACAGAGTGAGAGACAGAGAGAGAGAGAGACAGAGGGGGGGGGGCACCAATTAACGGACCAGGATAAAACCCACGAGGTTGGACAGGCACCCTACTCCATGTTGCAACAAACAACTAGACCCCCCCCCCCCCGCCTCGGTTGTGAATATGAAAGGTACAAGGACAGTTATAGATATAAATAGATTCGCGAGATAATTTATTGTATGCACTCCAGCCGTTGATATCTGTTATTGTATGCACTCCAGCCGTCGATATCTGTTAGTTGAAGTCAGTCTGTTGGTAGGGTAAGTTGAACATTATTATTATACATGTAATACATTATCAAGTAATGAATTCATCTCGATTTTCCGGCGTGGTTCCCCTTTTCATGATGCAGGACGGAGGGCCTGACAAGGACAGCTGTCTAGTCGTTGGGATGGGACGAAAAAACGAGGTCCCGTGTACACATTGACGTGCACGTAAAAGATCCTTGGCAGTTGGAATTCGATTTAAGAGTAGGCCGTAGCGCCGCTGCCCGGGCAAAATTTCTCTCATAGTACACTGTATGGCGTATGCCCGTCTTCATTAGCACGGGTTAGGAGCAGAACAGTAGGACGTTAAACCCCATTTCATTTCATTTCATTTCAGGTAATGAACACTTATTGTCTCTGTAACACTTGTAGAGAATGTGTGTCACCCTTCGATGAACACAATGGCATTATTGTGCATGTTTTCGAGTACTGCAATTGTTCGTAGTACAGAATGTTTTGCACTTGTTTGCTTATTACACAGTATTTTTCCGAAATTATGTCTTTCTTATAAAATCGCTAAGTGGGTTACGTGCGCGGGCTGTACAAAGCAGTTGAGACTTACGACTGGACCCTGGATTCATTCACGTGATTTGTTATTTGTTGTTTATTGCTTGTCGTGTTATGTGGGTTTTGTTTGCGTGCAGTGTGATCTTTACTATCGAAATGTTTGTACTAATATAAATAGTGTTTTATCTGCTGTTATCTTCATGCATATTGCGTGAGTACTGCTCATATCGTGTTTCATAAAAGAAGTGAAATGTCACTGCGACATAGCCGAAATCGCTAAGTGCCAGTGGGTTACGTGAATACTGCTCGTATCGTGTTCAGAAAAGAAGTGAAATGTCATAGCTGATAATCTCTGTCTAATTTGTTGACACATATATGGCTTAACGACCTACCTTTCTGCACTGCATACGAATTAATGCGTTGTTTCGATCCACCGCTTATACTTGACAAGGAGTAGGCTCGGCTGTCTAACCTCGCGCTGTTTCTTTATTTGACGAGGTTTATTTGACGCGTGTGAGTTAAGTTTGGTCGTGGTCGTTGTCCGCAGGTCTGTTGATCCGATCACATTATTTACTCTCGAGGTCAGGATGCCAGGAACGTTATAAAAATTATATGTATATTATATTGTACCCGTATAAAATCGTTTTGGTACGGATTTTATAAGAAACATTATATTCGGTACGAATTTCGTTTGTTATTTTAGATAAATTGAAAGTTTGTCTATTACTGGTTTCTATAGTGCACTGGATACTACTTTATGATAAGATGTTTCTTGTAGGCTACAGGTGTCTTTCTCGTTTGTATTAATGTCGGGCATATCATTTACACGTATTTCTATTTTCAGAACAATATAGATTTGAAGATGGCGTTCGGATATTTGCTCCTGGCAGTAAATGTGGTCATCTTGGCCGTCTACATCCAACAAACGTTCTTTAGTGGGGATAAACTTGAATCTCACTTGGCGAAGGAGATCGACGCAACATACGACTATATTATAGGTAAAACACAACTTCTACTCATGTACTGGAAATAGAATTATGATCCTCCTCTCTTTGAAACGCAAATTTTATCTTAGTGGTTTGATTTGATAAAATTGGGAACATCAACATCATTGCGTGCCTACAATTACCCCACATCAAGCTAGTTGGTTGGTTATTGGATTGACTTTTGTGGACCGTTGAAGAAGACGGAAATGGGGGTGAGCTTGCAGAGTCCCGACTAATCATATAACCGGATTAGTTTTTTGTTGAAAACACTGTTCTGATGCTTTAAAATATTTAATGGCAGTTGTTATACAGCATTGCATGATTACATGGTAATATTGGTTTTATTGGTTGGTTATTTGATTTCTATGGCGGGACTGCTCGCTCCTGCTAAGAGACGGTTTTACACAAAATGATAAGTGACACGCAGGCCGCTTTTATAACAGCAGAAAAAGCACATGCAACAACAAAAAGAGAAACAGTTTGGAATCAGACCACTGATGATTTGTAACAGTAAACAGAACATAGACTGTGCCATCTCACAACGCCTTGGTGCTTTACAGCTCGTTACTACCAAAATGCCTAAAACAACAAAAGTTGAATTGTTTTTTGGTTTTTTTTTTTACTAACGTCTTAGTCAATTTATTTATAGATTAACAAAATATATTTTTGGCCATCTTAAAAAGTTTCTGTGTGCTTTAAAGGAGCTAAATCGCTAATATTTGGGACCTACAATTTGACACAAATGGGTCGCAACATAGATAATAATGTAATATGAATGTAAATAAACTGATTTACATTCATCGTTTTCGTTTTTACTCTAATTTCAAAGCAGTTATGTTCGGCGAAATACGCCAGAAGTCTCAATCGAATGTCAATGGTTTTTCCATTTAACACTGATAGTATTTATTGCACATGCTCTCCAGATAAGAATATGGGGTCACAGTTTGACATGACTTGTGGAATATGTCTAGCCTCGTTCTTCCGAGTCGTTTGTTACAAACTGCGCTGAAACGCATCATGGTACACGATTCGTGTACCAATTGTAAAATGTTTATTTTGTCATAAATATTGAATATCAGAAGCCCATCTTGTCCCGGCAAGATCACAACACCAATGTTGATTAAAATTGACAAATAATTCGTGTTTTCATTGTCGAAGGTTTTGGATGATACTGCGTTAGAGACTTAGTTACTTTAAATCTAATCTTTGTTTTAAATTTGTCTCTTTCAGTGGGGGCTGGGTCAGCAGGATCTGTATTAGCCAATCGACTGTCTAAAGATTCTAGTCTGAAAGTCCTGGTTCTGGAAGCAGGAACTGACGATCAACAACCGTCCTCCACAGTTATAAAAATCCCTATGATGTGTGCATCGGCTCAAAGGACAGAATACGATTGGCAATATTATTCGGTGCCTCAAAATAAGTGCTGCAAGGGGTTATGGGGAGAGGTATGACTTGGGTTGTGTATGTGTTTTAACAAATATCTGCACTGAGACACTATGAAAACGCAACAGTTTTATAAATGGGTGATTGTTAAATTTGAGAGGTACAATTCAATCTTGGAATGTAACAACATCAGATCACGACGATAACTCGTTCAGTTCTGTGGAAGACGCGACGAACTGCCAATCTTGTTATGTATTATCCTAGCCGTCAATTGAAACACAACGAAGCTTCTGGAATATACATCGTATTTAAGTACGGGACAAGGAGTAGGGGTGCCTGTCCAACCTTGTGAGTTTTCTCCGGGTCTTCCGGTTTCCTGTGGCTGGTAAAGACCCCTACACGCAGGCGAATTATTGAAATAAAATTGAACCATATGTTAGTCCCGAAATGACCTAGTTTGTTTTATCTCTTGTTTGTGGCTCACTAAGTAAGGCACTGGGTCACTAATCAGGTGGCCTTCCTCATAGCACATTGTATGATGTATGTATGCATCCGTTGGTCCGCTTTCGATAGAAATGTTACAGACTATTTCATTTCTTTCATTTCAGAGAATGTTTATGCCGAGAGGTAAAGTGTTAGGGGGATCCAGTCAAATAAACTATCAACTTTATGTCCGAGGTCATAGAAAGGATTATGATGGCTGGTCTGAAGCTGGTTGCGATGGTTGGAGCTATTCTGAAGTCTTGCCATATTTTATTAGATCAGAAAATATTCAACCATTTAAACATATGGATAAAGGTAAAATAGTACACGACAATATTTTTTACTGTCCTATATAAAAGTATAGTATTTAATGTACTTTAGTCATTTTGATAATAGAGTAATAGAGTTATCTCTCCCTAGTAAAGTTTACCAGAGTTATTTCCCTTGCCCGAAAGAGATATTGCTGTATGATGAGATATGCTGATTATGGTTACAGCAGAAGCTGGATTTTATACTTTTAGAATATCATGGTACAAATGGTCCACTTGGCGTGATTGAATCTCATGCGACAGATTTTCCCAGTTTTATGATAGAAGCTGGTAAAGAAATGGGGTATGGAACTGGTGATTATAATGGTAGGGAACAAAAAGGTATGTTAATTACAATTACAATGGGTGGGGTATATTAAATAAAACGGACGTGACATATACTAAACATTATGTATGGACTATCCGGGTTGGTACATACCATAAATACCATGTGTAGAATGTTCTATAAATATTGTGGATAGAATATTCCGTTTATACAATGGATATCATTGATATATTGTTCCATAAATATCGTTGGTGAAATGTTCCCTAAATATCAAGGGTGAAATGTTCCATAAATATCATGGATGGAATATACCATAAATTCTATGCATAGAATGTTCCATAACTACCATGGATAGGATGTCCCGTAATACCATGGATGCAATTTGCAATAAATACCATGGATAGAATGTTCCATAAATACCATGGGTGCAATATACCATTAATACCATGGATACCATTGGTAAAATGTTCCGTAAATATCACGGATAGAATGTTCCATAATTACCAAGAATACAATGTTCCAAAAATACCAGAGGTGTATATAGGGATAAAAACCATGGACGCAATATAACATAAATGGATAGGTTGTATTATAACATGATTCTTTTCTATTAAGATCTGTCATTCTGTGTTTTGATATAAAGACTATAAATTAATATTTATATATAGGATTTTTTGCTTCACAAGCTACTATACAAGACGGTGTAAGATGTAGTACGGCTAGAGCCTTCTTATGGCCAGCTGTCACAAGTCGCAAAAATCTTCACGTTCTGACAAACGCCCACGTTAAAAAGGTCAGTATGGTCTTCTTTGTCGTTATTCATCTTTCTTACGTATTTTCATCCCAAAGCCCGTGTTTATTTTATTTTAACGCACACGGGGGGGTAAGGGAATAACCTGCGTTCGCTTCTAATTCTACTTCCATGTTGATAAAGTATGATCACGCTAGTTTTTCTTTTCTCTTCAGGTAGTTATACAGAATAAGAAAGCAGTTGGTGTAGAATTTTATCACAAAGGAACACTGAAGTCTGTTTCTGTAAATAAAGAGATTATTCTATCAGCTGGTGCTTTGTCTTCTCCTCAGATTTTAATGCTGTCAGGGATTGGACCAAAAGAACACCTAAAGGCACACGGGGTAATTCACTTTACTTGAAGTTTTTCATTTTTCGGAAAATATATTTTCCACGTCTTCATCCACGCTAAAATGTTGGCTTGTGCGGCCTATGAGACATATATATCATCCACAGTTGGATTTTCAATTCATCATAACTTTATAAATAACGAACCAATTTTGGACTAACATTCCTTATAGAAATCCAGCTTTCACAACAGCGTAGTTCTATCAAGGATCAAAATTCTCCTACATGACAATCAGGGGCTTTAACTCAAAACAAAATATTGTTTGTTTTAGTTTTATTGACGAAGCCCGAGTAGACGCACACGCTATTGCTTATGTGTCTAGCTGTCTTCAACACAGTTTTTTTTAACGTTTTTTCGCGTCATATAAATAATAATGAAAGTTGATGACGATGCAAAAAAATTGGTTGTCTATTTCAGATACCAGTCGTAGCTGATTTACCAGTGGGTGATCATTTAGAAGATCATATTAGTTTTATATCCTACTATAAAACAAAAGGAACCGTTTTTAGTTCTCGTAACAAAATAGAATCTTTGTGGACAAAAGCCCAGTATTTAACAACCAAATCAGGTAGAGAAAGAGGGAGAGAGGGGGAAAAAGAGGGTCATACAGTTCCATTTCATTTTATTAATTTACTTGTGCGCAGGGGTCTTTAGCAGTGGGGGGAAACCAGAGGACCCAGAGAAAACCCACGAGGTTTGACAAGCGACCCTACTCCTTGTCAAGCGGGAAATCGAAACCACGCCACATTACTCGATGGCAGAACTTATGATGCAACGCACGCACAGCAACCATTCGGCAACCCAACCCCTAGGTTTAATTTCAAGTAATTGGTTCGGTTCAATTGTAAGCAATTGATTCGATTCAATTTCAAGTAATCGAATCGGTTCGATTTCAAGTAATCGAATCGGTTCGATTTCAGGTAATTGATTCGGTTCAATTTCAGGTAATTGATTCGGTTCAATTTCAAGTAATCGATTTGGTTCGATTTCAAGTAATTGATTCGGTTCAATTTAAGTAATTGGTTCGGTTTAATTTCAAGTAACCGATTCGGTTCAGTTTAAAGTAATTAATTCGGTTCAGTTTCAAGTAATCGATTCGGTTCCATTTCAAGTAATTGATTCGGTTCAATTTCAAGTAACTGATTCGGTTCAATTTCAACTAAGTAACGAGGTTCTGTTTCTGTTATTGTGAATAATTGATTAACTTTTACTTTTCTAATGATATAAAATTGCATTATATTTTGTTCAGGTGTGTTGACGACACCTGGAGGTATGGAATCATTAGCTTTTATATCTACGGACCCCAAAAGTCCCGAGTATCCTGATTTAGAAATACATGCAATAAATTGGCTGTTTAACGAAGATACGATACGGGACGTGGTTGGTGTTGACCCTAAGGTAAGAATGAATTGCGTAATCTGTATAAAACAGAAAGTTGTTTTGATTGTCAGTTTGTTTGCGGGTGTGTTGGCTAGAGGAAACCCAACGGTGGAACTTATTAATACTACAGGTAACTGTTACCTGTAGTGTTACAGAGTATCCGTTTAGTAAATATAGTATTTATTGACATCGGGTAAAGTGAAATTAAACGGTGTTTAACGTCCAAATGTTTTGCTTCGACTGGGCTATAAGGGACATTTTATCACTCGTATATCGAATTCCAACTGCCAAGGGATCTGTTACGTGCACGGCAATGCGTACACGGGACCTGGGTTTTTCGTCCCACCCGAACCAGTCAAGGTATTGTTGTAATGAAATTACAAACCGAGTTTCGTCACTTTCTTTTTCAGTATGCCAAGTATTATTCGGGTGTAAACGATATGAACGGTTTTACTTTGTATTATACTTTATTAAGACCAAAAAGTTATGGTAAACTTCGTCTAAACAGTACAGATTCCATGCAATATCCGATCATTGATCCAAGATATTTAGAAAACAAGGAAGATGTGGAGGGCTTGCTACGAGGTTTGTCAATATTAGCTCTAAAAATATTGTTTGTAAGTCATTTAGTGATAGGAGAACGTTAAAATAACAAAAACACAGCTTTGTGGATAACAAAATCACTAGCAACTACTTTAATAATTACCACGATTTGAATTTTAAAGTCTATGGGCGCCATCTGTGTGTGTTTTGGTGGGGGGGGGGGCATTTTTACATATGTCAGTACATGCGTTCATTTTTACTTATATCATTACAGCTGTTCGTTTTTCACAGAAACTGACTGAAACCAAGACTTTCAAATCTCAGGGAACGGAATTTTTCCATAAACCATTTTCACCGTGTTTAGAAAAATCTGAATTTGATAGTGATGAATATTGGCGATGTTATATAAGGTATTTTACCCTGGTTATCTATCATCCTACTGGAACTTGTAAAATGGGACGTACAGAAGATCCAACCACGGTAGTGGATCCGCAGCTAAGGTAAGTACATTACTATAGTATGCTCTGAGATAGCACTTGCGGTCCAACAAGTAATGTGATGGACAGACAAGCACGTAAAAGGAACCACAACAGTTGAAATTCGATGAAAGAAAAATGATCACTATCCGGGTACAATTTCCTTCATCATGCAGAAACGTAAGACGTTAAACCCCATTTTATTAGTCCATGCTAACTCGTCACTGACTGGACACCAAATAATTCTTCCTTGTTCAACCCACATTTTAAAATGACCCGATGTGTATTTATTTTAATTAGTATTTTATTTATTACAGAGTGAAAGGAATCCATGGACTGCGAGTAGCTGATGCTTCTATCATGCCATCCATAGTATCTGGCAACACTAACGCACCGTGTATAATGATTGGTGAAAAAGCCGCGGATATGATTCTGGGTATAAAACCACCAACCCCTCTATCGGATATGTAGCTGTATATACCATAACAGAGTCTTCAATCGTTATACGTATCTTTGTGTTCAAACTTTATAAGTATTAAACCGTTATAATTATCAGAATGTTAAACCATTATAACAGAGACTTCAATCGTTATACGTATCTTTGTATTTAACCGTTATATATGTACGTATCTGTGTGTTCGACCGTTATAATTATCCGAGTTTTAAACCGTTATAACTATCAGGGTGTTAATCCGTTATAACTATCAGAGTGTCAAACTGTGTTACACCACTATAATTATCAGAGAGAAACCGTTATCATGGTGTTTAACCGTTAGGACTATCTGAGTATTTTGTCTTTATAATTATAAATTCGTGTCAATTAGTGTTAAACCGTATAACTGTAGTTTTAAATCGTTATAACTGTCAGAATATTAACCCGTTATAACTGTCAGAGTTTTAAACCGTTACAACTATCAAAGTGTTAACTCGTTTTAATTATCAGTGTGTTAAGATTGTCAGGGTGTTAAACCGTTAGGACTATCAGAGCCGTGTCAAACTGTTTTAACTATCCAAATGTGAACCTGGTATAACTATCAGGGTGTTAAACGGTTAAAATTATCAAACTATTCAAACTATTATAACAAACTATTTAATCGGTTATAACTATCAGAGCAAATTATTTAATAGGTTATAAATCTAAATTGTTAAACGGTTTACTATCATAGAGAACTGTATAAATGGTTATAACTATTATAGTAAACTGTTTAAATGGTCATAGCTATCATAGTAAACTGTTTAAATGGTTATAACTATCATAGTAAACTGTTTAAATGGTTATAACTATCATAGTAAACTGTTTAAATGGTTATAACTATCATAGTAAACTGTTTAAATGGTTATAGCTATCACAGTAAACTGTTAAACGGTTAACTGTTTAAATGGTTATAGCTATCGTAGTAACTGTTAACCAACTGAAGGTGTCTCCTCATCTTTATTAATCTTTTCTAAACCCATTCAATCGTTAGATCTAATTTCAGTCGGTTTTCCACGTGGTTTCGACTTGAGATCTTTCCCATTTAATGGAGATTTTAACGAATGGATTGTCATTGTATAAAATGACATGCATTTTCAAAGACTTTAGTTTGATCATCGTTAGTCATTGGAAGTCTAATAGATTTAAATAGATTAAGGAATCAAGTCTGTGGATTCAAAGATTTAATACAGATCTATATTTCGTTTCGTTTTTTTGTTTGTTTTTTTGTTTGTTTTTTTGTTTTGTACTTTCGATGGCCTACACTACATGAAAATCTGACTCGTTATAGTAGAGGGTCGTGTCAGGGGTCGTACGAGCAGTTATGGACCCTGTGACATCAGACATTGATTAATCAACCAGCATCGCACGCCAAGAACTCGCCATGACAGACCATTTCATTGTCTAATCCCTCACTTCAACCGGGACCTCGGTAATATAACAATTCATCCAGATCCTAGTGAAATAAAGACAAGTAAAACTCAAATGGCGTTCAGAGATGTTGGTTAATATATAGATATGCGTACTACATGATTCATACTTTTATGTTGATCTAAAGTGTTAGTGGATGAACAAGCTCTATACCATTAATATTTAGTTTGTTTACCAGATTTACTTTCAGTATTAGTTAATTGTATCGACAATAATATATAATCGCCTTGATGTTTGAATAGAAATTATGGTGTGTGCAAATAAAGTTGATATTTACAATGTTAGTCTTCCTTTTACATCGATCGACACGATCAATTATATCTTTAATGTCCACTCGACATAAAGTAGGTCATTTCGGGACTAATATATGGTTCAATCTTATTTCAATTATTCGCTTGTGCGTAGGGGTCTTTAGCAGTGGGAGAAAGCCGGAGGACCCGGAGGACCCGGAGAAAACCCAAGGGTTAGACAGGCGACCCTACTGTTTGTCACGTACAACTGAGGAATCAAACCGCATTATACATTATAACAGAGTATATGCCTGTCTTATTACAACAGATTATGGACCTGGTCACATATCAACAGATTATAGTTCTAGTCATAGAGCATAGTTCTAATCACATTACAACAGAGCCTGAGAAAACCCACGAGGTCGGACAGGCGACCCCACTCCTTGTCACGTACAACTGGGGAATCGAAACCCCGCCAGTTGACTCAATGACAGACCGTATGATACAGAGCGCGTGCTAACCATTCGGCCATCCAACCCCCCACATTATAACAGAGTATAGGCCTTGTCATATTACAACAGAGTACATGTATATCAAAATTGAGTTTAACATCCTACTGTTCTGCTCTGAACTTGGCTAATGAAGACAGGCATAAGCCATACAGTGTGCTATGAGGGAAATTTTGCATGAATAGTGGCACTACGGCCTCCTCTTATATCAAATTCCAACTGTCGAGGGATCTTTTACGTGACACCAATGTGTACACGGGACCCCTGTTTTTCCCTCATAATTTTGCCCGGGCAGCGGCGCTACGGCCTACTCTTATATCGAATTCCAACTGCCAAGGGATCTTTTACGTGCACGCCAATATGTACACAGGACCTCGGTTTTCAGAAATGAAATGAAATGAAATGGGGTTTAACGTCCTACTGTTCTGCTCCTAAACTGGGCTAATGAAGAGGGGCATACGCCATACAGTGTGCTATGAGGGAAATTTTGCCCCGGCAGCGGCGCTACGGCCTACTCTTATATGCCTTGTAACATTACAACAGGGCTTGTCTCATTACCAAACCTTGATCACCATATTGGTCGGCAATTCTCCTTCCACCACTGGGAAAGCTAATATAACTTTGTAGATTGACATAGCCGAGGTTCATGAGACACAAATACTCGTTACCACGTCTTCAGGTGTATTTATCATGGTTGCACGACAGAAACGTAATTCAAAGTTTACACCATTCATTTACACGTCACCTTTTATTGGTTGTGTAGTATGTTGCGTAATGTCTTGATAAACTGAAATAATTTTGATTTAACGTGAAATATACAATCGCCAAGGTGATGTGTGTAAAAGTAAATATATTCATTTTCTTGGTGAGAGTGACATTGTCCCTTTAAGTTTTATATGTACAGAGAGAGAGAGAGAGAGAGAGTGAGAGAGAGAGAGAGACTAAAATAAATTTGATGAGACGTGAAATATACAATTTTGGTGAGAGGCGCATTGCCCCTTTAAGTTTTATATTTACATAGCGACACACAGAAAGAGAGGGAGAGAGAGAGAGAGAGAGAGGGGGGGGGGGGAGGGGGGAACCAGAGGACCTTGATAAAACCTTCGAGGTTTTTTCTTTTTTATTTCTTTGAGTCATACGACTCATCAGATAGACACATACAATATAAATACATAAATATTTTACACAATAAGTAAACAAATCAGGTTATGTACAAAATTTTACATATGTATAGTATGGGGAGCAGGCGACTTGAGAAATTTTAATGTGCAACATTCAATAAATTATTCCTTCTTTTATTACAGTAATATAAAAATAATGCAAGATTATTTAATTCTTTAATATAATGAACACTTAGCAGTTGAGTCAATTTATGAACACTAAGATTTCGAATATAATAATTCTTTATATATTTTTTACGAAGATCGGAGAATACAGGACAAATTACAATATGGTGGTATTCAATATCATTTGATTTACAAAGGTTGCAGACTCTGGCTTGACGGGGTGTATTTTTAAAACGGCCAGATTCGATGTGTAAACAATGTGCAGATAGTCTTATTCTAGAGATATATGTGATATAATTACAATTTAAAGGTTTCGAAAGATAATATTGAAGTTCGAAGGTAGATATGAGATGCTGATATAACATACCTTTAGGAGATGTACATATAGATTCATAGCATTGTTATTTAAACACATCAAATATTCTATTTTTAAAAATAATATAATCCAATTTAGTTAAGTTTTGATAATTATCCCACATATAACCCAATCCCAAAGAACATAATTCTTTTTTAAGATTTAAAATCCATCGATCTGAGTTGTTAATTATATCAAATAAACAACACTTTAAAACAACATTATTGGTAGAACATAATTTTATAAAATATTTGAAAATTCGAAGTTTTCGTGTTATTGATAAAGGATATCTCCCTAGCTCATGATACACCATGGAACTGTTTGTAGTTTGCCGAACTCTTAAGATCCGTTTACAAAAATATAAATGGATTTTTTCTATATCTTGTCCTTTGTGGAACCCCCAGATTTCAGAACCATAGCATAAAATGCTATTTACATACGTATCAAATACAGATAATTCGGTTTTAACATTAAAATAATTTTCATCACAAACTTTGAAGACAGAAAATGATGCTTTCCTACCCTGATCAGACAGATGTTTTTGTGTTTTTAAAAATTTACCATTATAGTGTAATAAAAGGCCTAGATAATTGAATTCATTTACAATTTCGAGATTAAAATTAAGATATCGCCAAACCTGATTCGTGGTTATCTTACCCCCGCTTCTGAAGACAACTTTCGTTTTGGCAGTGTTTACCGTTAAATTCCATTTGTTTGCATATGTATGCAAGGAGTCTAATAAAGTTTGTAAACCAATAGCTGTTTCAGAGATAAGGACTTTGTCATCAGCATACATTAAAGAAAATAAATTTAGCCACATTAATGGAATTGATGGACAATTTGAATCTTTAAAGTGTGTTTCAACATCATTAATATAAATAGAGAATAGAAGCGGTGATAAAATTTCACCTTGAAAAAGACCAGTTGCACATTCAAAAATATCAGATACATCATTATTTAGTTTTACACAACATTTAACTTTATCATAGAGAGATCGAATAACAGTTAGTATTTTACCATCAATACCATTTTTTATTAATTTATACCATAAGTTGCACCTGTTGACCAGGTCAAAAGCTTTTGTGTAATCGACGAAGCAACAGTACAGTTTTTTCTTGTCTCTGAGGTAACGATTTATGAGAGATTGTAATACAAATATGGCATCAGTAGTCGACAGATTCTTGCGGAATCCAAATTGTGTCGGGGTAATACATTCATCTTGTTTGTCAAATTCTAAAAGCCTATTATTAAGTACAGAAGTGAACAGTTTACCAAGACAACTCACTATGGTTATGCCTCTATAATTATTTGGGTCATCCTTAATACCTTTCTTAAAAATTGGAGTGATTCTGCCAATACACCAATTAGATGGAAAACACCCAGAGTTTAAAATATTGTTAAATAATTCAGTTAAACAAGGAACAAGATTAAAACTAAAATGTATAAAATATTCATTAAGCATATTATCAGTACTACAGGCTTGATTATATTTTAGATTTTTAATCGCAATCATAATTTCATTACCAGTAATTGGTCCATCAAGAGACTCATTAATATTAATATTAGCGTTGTCATGGTCAAACAAAATATCTTTAACAGAAGTATTATCGACATCGTTAACTACAGGAAAAGAGGCGAGATTCTTAAAATGCGTATAAAATGCGTTTAATTCTATATTATGACCAATCTTCGATTTATTCCTCTTAAATAATTTATGAAAACACTTTGGATTGTGTTTTCGCATATGATGTAGCATGTTACCCTGTTGTGATTTATACAAATATTTAAGTTTTAATTCAAATTTCTTATATGTAGATTTCTTAATAGATAAATTTTTTCGATTTACTGGAGATTTATTTAGGTTAAATGTATGTAGAGCTAATTTGTACTCGCTATATTTATGTTTACAGAGTTCGTTAAACCATGGCTTGTCTAGTTTGATTTTCTTTTTTAGTTCTGAAGATTTCACACGTATTATATTCGGGTGAGGATATATCAGGTCAATTAAAAGAGAAGAAAAGTTATCGACACTGGAATCAATAGAGGATTGGTCAAGCTTAACAACTTTACATGAATTAAGAAGCTCACTTTGAGAAGTGTTCAGAGCCTGCTTGAAAATGTCAATATCACAGTCCGACCATTTTCGGATACACCTTACAGAGTTTTCGTTAGGAGTGTCAACTGGTGTTGAATAAATATGGGCACTAGTTCTACTGGTAATTAACTCAAAACTCAGTGGAGCGTGATCCGAAAACTCGTTAAAACAACCAGTCACAAGAGATTTTATTATATCAAACTATTCATTACAAATTAACATATAGTCAATAAGACTAGAACCCCTTGAATTACTAAATGTAAAGTTGCCTTGAATATCATCTTTAAATCTACCATTTACAATTCTAAGACCTGTATCTTTACATAATGTTAACATATGCCTTCCAAACTGATTTATGGTACTATCCATATTATTTCGAACACTTAGTATCTTATTTGAGTCTGGGATATAATCTACAATATCAGCTAAAATTTGTTCTATGCTGTGGCTTAATTTGTCATGTTCAATAAAGTCACTTAAAGTGCCTGTCCTGCTGTTAAAATCACCTGTAACCACAACCAAGTTACTATCTATCATATGCTTACTAAGTGACTGTTCAAGGGCTTCAAATAAATTGACGTCATTATGTTGATAGAAGACACTATTGTATGGGGGGATATAACATGCAAATATTACCAAATTAGTGTTACGGGGGGTCCATTCTCTAGTTGTAAAAAAAAACACACCAAGGGTTCGATTCAACGGTTTATTCAGATATAACAGAAACCCTGAAATACATAATAAATAAGACTAAATATATATAATAATACATTATGTTGAATTGATAAAATCTATATCTATACACAATTACAAATTGATAATAGCATCATAACTTTAGTAGTAGAAATATACATACTAGATATATGCTACATAGGCCTATCTATAAATCCATTTTACTTAATCACTTAAACACGATCTTAAATACTGCCTATATAATTAACTTCATCCTGCTAACTTGTATGACAGCTACAAGTTAAAGTATATGTATGTAATAATACCAATCTAAATAATCTAAATAACTAAACACTTAATAAGTAGCTTACCCTAGAGAGGGGTTTTGCTGGCTAGACAGACTGTCAAAGGTGAAGTACCTTTGAAGTATCTGTAATAAAATATATGAATGTGTGAATATGCAATAGATGTTTAAAAGTATATTTGAATGAAAGTGGTGAAATGTATAATATACTAACTATAAACCATTACTAAACCCAAGGAACTTTACATTTTACTAAAAATCCAATATGTCTGACACTATATGTCCAACATGACCAAGACTTTGAAAACTATGATAAAACTACATAAAACAATATAATACATACCCTACCTGGCAATCACTGGAACTATTAAATACTTTAATCTAACTTCTATATAAACTATATTAGAAATGAAATATCTAAAACTAGCTAATTAAACTATGACTATACAGAAATAAGTTGCAATATGGAGAACTGAAAATAGTCAACCTATTGCCTCAAACTCTATTACCTAAGTGTCCAAACATTCCCTGGATACCAAATCATCTGACCACAATATACTCAGGTTCAAAGGTTAAAACCAAGACAAGATACCAAAAGTGAGAAAAAACTCACTCTAACTTAAGATAGTGGTGGATAGAAAGTCGATAGAAACACAGGATAGCTAAAGCTAGTGAAGTGGAACATATTATCTAACACTTAAAACTTAGTATTGGTGACTTTAAAATATTCCCCAATAAAATCACTCTCCCACATACTTCCCCCCTAATGCAAATGTTGTCCCCGACATTAACCATATTCGACATCCGATCACAATATGACCTGGCCGTCTCCAACACCAGCTAAACTAAAATACATCCGGAAACAAGGACTTGCATAAACCTGGCAACATAGTTAGTACGACCTGCAACCTATCTGGTGACAAACTCATGAGTCTGGTGGTTCAGGCCTGCTTCCACCATCTTGAACACTGGTGTCGATCTCAGCTTGTCCTTCGTTCCCATCGTGTACCTCAGTGGTGCTAGCAGGTTGCAAGTAGGTTGCATCCTCCACTAAGTACACCTGATCCTCATCTTCTTCACTACTGGATGACTCTTCCGGTTCTGGTATTACCTTTGGTTGTCTAGTTCTTGGTCGTGGTACTGGTCTTGTTCTAGTGTTGACATCTGGTGAAATTTCCGGTAACGTACTGATGGGTAAAAGATGGTTCCTGTGTAATGTCCTTTTCCGACCATTTCCACCAATCGCTTGTAGTTCGTAAACCGGTATGTCCTTGTTTGGCTGTCTCAAAATCTTACATGGCTTATCCTCCCATTTATCTGCTAGCTTGTGTCTGCCCTCTGGAAAAACTAGGCGTTTCACTAAAACACAATCCCCTGGTTCCAACACATTTATCCTGGCTCTTAGGTTGCATTTTTTCCGCTGAAGTTCCTGCGTATCCTCCCTAAAAGCTTATGCTGTAAGATATGCGTGTTCCAGCTTTTCCTTCAGAGATCCAACATACGAGTTGTAGTTTCCTTTGGCCTCTGTACTATCCACAATTCCTAGCATAACATCAACAGCTAAGGTTGGTTTCCTTCCGAACATCAATTCGTACGGTGAATATCCTGTTGATGAATGTCTTGTACAATTGTATGCGTGGATGAGTGGAGCAACGTAAGATTTCCAGTCCGACTTCTGTTCAGGATGCAAAGTTCCGAGCATATTCAGCAAAGTCCGATTGAACCGTTCACATTGTCCGTTCCCTTGTGGATGGTATGGTGTTGTTCTAGACTTTTCGATCCCAGTCAACTGGCACAATTCCTTGATGATTTTTCCCTCGAACTGCTGGCCTTGATCACTATGTAGCCGTTGAGGAATCCAATAGTGCACGATAAAGTTGTCAAATAATGCCTTGGCAGTTGTTTTAGCTGTTGTGTTCCTAACTGGCACTGCTTGGGTATATTTGGTGAAATGGTCAGTGATGACTAATATACTATCATAGCCTCCTTTCGCCTCTTCCACACACATGTAGTCCATGCAGACCAATTCCATCGGTTGACCGGTTTTGATGTTGACCAAAGGACAGGTTGATGGTAAAGCCTTCCTACGCACACACCGAGGACTCCTCTATCTGAAACGTCATTTTGGGCCAGTAGAACCTTTCTTGAGCTAAACCTATAGTTCGATCTCTTCCCTGATGTCCTAGGTCGTCATGGACTCCGACAATCGCCAAACGTCTGTAGGCTTCAGGCAAAACCAGTTGTAAAATCTCATCTCCTGCCACCATTGTGCGCCTATACAGGGTACCAGACTTAAGAACGAAGTGTTCATAATGGCGGTACAATGCAGCTTCTTCTGGTGATCCTGTTTTTGTCCTAGCTGGTCTTCCATTCAGGATGTCATTGCAGAGTTGCCGAAGTAATGGGTCTTCACCCTGTCTCCTTTCCCACTCTCCTAGGCTAACAATGGGAGTTGTTAAAGTCATCATGTTTGGTGATACTTGGTGTGACATGCTGACGGTTTGGATGTAGCCTTCATCAGTGTCGCTATTTCGGATTGCTTCCATCACATCTGGGCTCACTTCCTGGTAATCATTTTCAGTCATCCTGCTTAAAGCATCTGCATCCATATTTTTCCTTCCAGCACGATACTTTATCGAAAAGTTGTAGTTGGATAGGGCAGCAAGCCAACGGTGTCCAGTGGCGTCCAACTTTGCCGTGGTCAGGATGTAGGTGAGAGGATTATTATCCGTGAAAACTGTGAAGTTGTTGTTGAACAGATATTGGTGGAATTTATCTGTGACAGCCCATTTCAGTGCCAGATACTCAAGCTTGTGAGCTGGATAATTCTTTTCAGCTTTGGTTAGGCTCCTACTCGCATATGCAATGACTCGTTCAAATCCATCCTGCTTCTGGTAGAGTACTGCTCCTAGCCCAACTCCACTGGCATCTGTATGTAGGATGAACGGTTGAGTAAAATCTGCGTAGGCAAGTACTGGTGGCTGAACTAATGATGTTTTGAGGTTTTGGAACGCCTCTTTCTGAGCTTCTTCCCATTTCCACTCTTTCTTCTGTTTCTCCTTCACTGCTCTCCCCCTCTTCTTCACAGTTGGTCCTCCAACCAGTAGGTCATTCAAAACCTTTGCTGTCTTGGAAAAATCTTTGATGAATCTCCGATAGTAGCCCACAAAACCCAAAAACTTCCTTAGTTCATCTACGTTGGTTGGAACTGGCCAGGATTCAACCTTATCCGTCTTCTTCGGATCTGTGGTTATTCCGTCTTCAGATACAATATGGCCTAGATAGCGTACTTTTTCCTGGATGAACTCACATTTTTTTGGTGCCAGCTTGATTCCATGCTCCCTGAGTTTTGTGAATACCTGTGTCAGTCTTTCGATGTGTTCTTCATAAGTCCTACTGAAAATAATAAGATCGTCTATGAAAATAGCACATATCTTCCAATTTAGATCTCCAAGACAGTCTTGCATTAGGCGCTGGTACGTTCCAGGGGCATTAGTAAGTCCGAACGGGAGTCTCACATATTCATAAAATCCTAGTGGTCCTACTGTGAACGCTGTCTTCGGTATGTCAGAATCCTCGATGCTCACTTGATGATACCCACTCTTCATGTCAACAACCGAAAAATACTTGGACCCTGCCAGGTTGTCTAACATCTCCTCTATTCGTGGTAGAGCATAGGCGTCGCGAATGGTCTTTTTATTTAGCATCCTGTAATCAACGCACATCCTGAGCGAGTTGTCTTTTTTCCGGGCTAACACTACTGGAGATACATAAGGGCTATGGCTTCTTCTTATTATCCCTGCTTCTATTAAATCGTGAAGATGTTCCTTCACTTCCTCATACATGCCTGGTGGTATTCGACGATGAGGCTGTTTGAAAGGAATTTCGTCTGATAGCTGGATCTTATGCTTCACCAAACTAATACTCCCGATGTCTCTGTCACTGTGTGAAAATATTGGGGACCACTGGTTTAGGAAATCTTTAAACGTATGGAGTTGATCTGGATTCAACGCAGAAGTAGCGAAATCAATCTTGTCCAAGAACGTATCAGTGGTGGTTGATTCTGTAGTAGATGATGGTAAAATACTGTTCACTGTCGTCTTTCGCACTAAGTCCACTACGTGAAGTTCACCGAGGATACTATGTGGATAAATCTTCACAGGCGATAGCGACAGGTTCGACAATCGTACTACAACTTCCTTCCCTTCCTCACCTGGGTACAACTCCAAAATAGTTGGTGTTACCTCTATTTCCGCTGGAATCAGAGAATCAGGAGAATTCTGGAAAATAACTCGCTGTCGGGTACCCAGTTTTAAATCTTGAATTATGCCAGACAAACACATCGAACGATTACTGTATAGCATAACAGGAGCATCTTCGGTACATTTCACTAATCCCACCTTTCCTTCAAGTTGTTTGTCCTGTATCTGCATGCATGTAAAAGTTAAACACCATGGACTGCTAGTACTTGGTTCAATAATGGTCTCAACACGTTGGTTCCCACAAGAGCTGGAGTAGTTCTATGGAACGTAGTATCTGGAACCACTAGAAATAAACAGTCGTTGGACTTACACTTGAAACTTGGAATCTTTACAGTCACTGAAATGCATCCTAAGTACGGTAAACTATCTCCTCCTGCACTCTCAATAACAATTAACTGATCGAGGGGAGTTAACACGCAATCTTCTGACTTAAGGTGGTCGTTATAAAAAGATTCACATACAGTTGACACAGTTGATCCGGTATCCAATAAAGTAGAACATACCTTCTCATTGATGTCCATAATGGTGGTGTTACTGTGTCCAATGATCTTGTTGGGACTCGCGTCACACATGTCATCTGATTGTGCCGCACCAGTGACACTCTCTAAAAATCCCCATCCCGAAGTGTAGCTCGACATCCGATCCTAACATGACCTGGTTGTCCGCAACGGTAGCATATTACTTTACTGTCGGGATGCTGTGGTGTTCTCGGTGTTGTTTGTGGAGACTTCTTTTTCTGTGCAGCTGGTGTTGAAGAACTAATCGGTGGTGGTAACGCATAAATAGAATCTTGACGACGATCAGCCTTCATCCCTTTAACATCCTTCTGTAATGACTGAACAGATGCAGTAAGACTTGCAATTAGGGTTCTTAAATCCTCAACTTCGCTATCTGCTGGTGCTTGCATCATTTTCAGTTGAGGCTTCGAAGTTGACTTGGCCGGTGTTGTGGAGGCTATGATAGTATCGCGCTCGATTCGTCGTACTTCCTTCAAAAGATCTTCAAAATCCGTAAGACGATCGTATTTGTGTGTAGATCTATCCTTTAAATCTTGGTTCAGACCACTCCAAAACTTTGCTCGTAACTTGCTCTCAAAGGTATCCGCATCCACTTCACCCTCATCCCTAGCCCTGTCCAACAAATCTTCGATTCTACAGGCCCACTTGGACACGGACTCGTCAGTAAACTGCTTGGCTGAGTAGAACTGAGAAAGCAGACACTGTCCTTGTTCCACTGACCCAAACCTGCTTTCAAGCTTGTCCAGAAGAGTTCTTGTTGTAACCTGGTGGCCAAGACGCATCGCCACTCGAGCAGCTTCTCCCTTCAATGATTTTATCACAGCCATCTTGATGGAATCGGTGGCGTGTTGTCCATTATTCATCAAGGTCATCACCTCAAACTTCCATAAATCAAAACTGATATCTCCTTTGGCAGTTGGATCGCCTGAAAAGAATGAAATTCGTGGAGTCTGTGGAACCATATGTAAACTTGCTGATGTTTTCTTTGGTGTTGGAGGAATATCACTAACTGATGCACCTACTCGTTCTTGATGTTGAACAGGTTCTTCCTCCTTAACCTTCCCCGTTGATTTTAGGTACCCATACATCCAATCAATCAGCTGTTCCGGTGTATCAGCCTTTGGTTTAGCACCCACGCTCGCCAATGCATCCAACAAACTAGCCTTTTCTTCTTCTGACATGGTAACATCGGCATTACCCTCATCTACTCCAGCCATCTTTGTTGATTAACACAAAAATAACGCGAACACAAAGACGCTATACACAGTAAAATATCGCGAAATACAACGGGTTAAGCACTGTAAACGATCGCGAAATACAACACACTAAACACAGTGAAACATAGCGAAATACTATAGAATGTCGCAAAATACAGATAAATGTCGCGAATAAACAACACCAAACTCGAGAAAATATCGCGAAATACAATAAAACATATATCGCGAATAACACCAAACACACTATAAATCGCGAAATACTAAGAAATCCCGCGAAACACTATTGAACACAATTCACTGATCTTCAAAAACGCGGAAAACAAATACTGGATTTTCACAAGTTGATAAACGATCAAGTCAAACAAAATACAAATTAAACCAAACTTTGAAACAAACTTTCAAAGTAATAAACTGCAAAACTACAAATAAGTTTTACAAAATACACATCAACTCAAACCGAAGTATAATGTAGAACAAATCCACACTATCAATGAAACCCACTAAATAAAATTAAATAAATAAGTGCAGGTTGGTTAGTTAGTGGTTAAGTGCTGTGAATTAAGGAGAAATAAAAAGGGAAACAGAGTATGAAATGAAATATGACGAAATATAAACTGAGTATAGATCACGTACCGCCAAATACAAATGAAAATAAACTATAAAACAATCAAACTTCAAACTTCAAAATACAAACACAACTTATCGACAATATATGAAATCGAATATGGACTAAGTCAAATGTAACAACACCATTGACTTTCCAAAATCAAAACCACAATATCAATACACTTCAAAGTCAAATTATTCAAATCTGAAAATAAGCGAAACCTGAAACTTCAACTTCACAAATCCCCAATTCTGAAAAGTCACAAAGTCTAAATTGACAAAATCAGAATCTGGATAAACACCTAAATCCCAAACGCAAAACCAACATATCTAATTCTGAAAATGAAAATTGAATGTAATGAATATATATTGTGTAATGCACCTGAAAATATCTTTAAGTATAATTTACGAATGTTATAATGTTAATGTACTATGTTTTTGCTTTGATTTATGTAATGTAAAACTTTGTTTTTACTCACAAAAAATTGTAAATGTAAACAAGAAGATGTATGTAGGTTAACAGGAAGTAACTATTTGGGTCAACAGGAAATAACTATTTATGTAAACAGGAAGTAGCAATAACCTTATACAAATATGGCCGACAGGAAACACAAATTGTAAACATACAAAATGGATGAAGTTTCTTTACTCCAAAATTTAAATGCACTATTTATGAAAATTTAGGGACTAATGCTGTAAATAATAGGGCTAGGACAAAATATTTACGCCTATTGAAAAGAACTACTCTTAATTTCAAGTACCTTCTACTAATAAGTACTGAGAATTACTTAAGTTTCAATAAATAACCACTTATATGTATATAATACCAATTAAAGGGAGATAATCTATGAAATAATTTTAAATTATAGGCCTAACAATATTATTACACATATCAAAACAGAAATAAATCTTAATTAAATAATCTTAATTATGTAATTATTAAGTAATAAATTAATTAACAGACCTTATGGAAAATCCTTATAAATCCAAATGAAACACAAATCACCAAAATATACTAAATAAAGTTAATGTCACTGCACTGGTATACTGCTATTACTGTTGATCGCGCACGCGTGTGAGCTCACTGAATTTTATCTTCTATAGTAGTCTATACTCTTCAAAATCACCATTAAACTGATAACCATTATACCATTAATCTTTATACCATTATACCATCAAAATTTAACGGGCTCCAAATGTTACGGGGGGGTCCATTCTCTAGTTGTAAAAAAAAACCACACCAAGGATTCGATTCAACGGTTTATTCAGATATAACAGAAACCCTGAAATACATAATAAATAAGACTAAATATATATAATAATACATATGTTGAATTGATAAAATCTATATCTATACACAATTACAAATTAATAATAGCATCATAACTTTAGTAGTAGAAATATACATACTAGATACATGCTACATAGGCCTATCCATAAATCCATTTTACTTAATCACTTAAACAAGATCTTAAATACGGCCTATATAATTAACTTCATCCTGCTAACTTGTATGACAGCTACAAGTTAAAGTATATGTATGTAATAATACCAATCTAAATAATCTAAATAACTAAACACTTAATAAGTAGCTTACCCCAGAGAGGGGTTTTGCTGGCTAGACAGACTGTCAAAGGTGAAGTACCTTTGAAGTATCTGTAATAAAATATATGAATGTGTGAATATGCAATAGATGTTTAAAAGTATATTTGAATGAAAGTGGTGAAATGTATAATATACTAACTATAAACCATTACTAAACCCAAGGAACTTTACATTTTACTAAAAATCCAATATGTCTGACACTATATGTCCAACATGACCAAGACTTTGAAAACTATGATAAAACTACATAAAACAATATAATACATACCCTACCTGGCAATCACTGGAACTATTGAATACTTTAATCTAACTTCTATATAAACTATATTAGAAATGAAATATCTAAAACTAGCTAATTAAACTATGACTATACAGAAATAAGTTGCAATATGGAGAACTGAAAATAGTCAACCTATTGCCTCAAACTCTATTACCTAAGTGTCCAAACATTCCCTGGATACCAAATCACCTGACCACAATATACTCAGGTTCAAAGGTTAAAACCAAGACAAGATACCAAAAGTGAGAAGAAACTCACTCTAACTTAAGGTAGTGGATAGAAAGTCGATAGAAACACAGGATAGCTAAAGCTAGTGAAGTGGAACATATTATCTAACATTTAAAACTTAGTATTGGTGACTTTAAAATATTCCCCAATAAATTCACTCTCCCACATTAGTATAAGTTAAAATGTTTAAATGGACATTTAGAACAATTATACAATCATTAATTGATTCATCTATTTTACATATATTGGATATTTCGTTACGTACACAGATAACAATACCCCCACCTTTACTTGTCTGCCTAGGAAAACTATATACATGATAGCCATCTAGTTTTACATCGTCATCACCCTGGATCCAACACCCATACAGGAGTATAATATCATATTTACAAATACAACTTACAAAATCGTCACTTTTCAATTTTTTACACAAACCTTTATTAACATTCCAAGATATTACACACAGTCCACTCTCCGAAATGTCCTACGCGTAGAGTCTTTCTTGGGGTGATTCGTCGTTGGAACTGGAACTAAAGTGTGCATGCCGTTTTGCAGGGGGTCTCCTTCCTTCCCATGGTCTACTGTAGTACATGGGTCTGTCTCCGAAAGTTTTGGGTGGATCCACTCCACTATGAGTTCCAGCATTATATGGTTCGTTGTTAACAAAAAGTTTGTCTCTAACTAACCTGGTTCGATGTCCTTTAAGTTTAAGTTGTTTTATGATTGGATACAACTTTCTGCGTTCGCTTTCGATGACTTCTGGATACTGTTCGTTGATTCCGTATGTAGAACCTTTCAACTTA